CCCAAACACCGCGGTTTACACTATTAGTGATTATCTCAGGTTTCTCAGACCACGGTTGATAATGCAAACACCGCGGCTTTCTGTGACCGCAAGTACAGAAAACCGCTAGAAGACGCGGTTTCCCAAAATCAACCGCGGTATTTAATGCGAATACCGTGGTGTGATATGAAAACCGCGGTATGAAGCGGTTTTGCTTGAAGTATTTTTACCAGGACTGGGAGATCTCTGAATTTTTTCAGCCTCACATTGATAAAGAAAATCATTTTTCGTTTTATTGTGTTACCTTCTCAGGCCGAACAGTCTGACCTGGAAACGACCGGTTCCGGGTAGTCTCGTTGATTTTGTGGAAGCAGTCTTCCGGTTGGAAAATTTTAGGATTTTTCCGGTGAATTCCCATCAACTCCTGCTGGAAAGCACCGGAACTTGGCAGAAATCCCCCGGAAAAGTTCGGCCGTATTTTTGCCCGGAATACTGCTTCCATGTTCCAGCGATTTCCCGTGTTTTCCTGCAGGATATGGTAACTTTCCCGCATATTTCCTGAAGTATCCTACGGGACCAGGCGACCGGAATGTTCAACCTGGGTACTGTAACGAAATGTTAAGATGGATGGATGGTTATTTCGTTAGCATGCGCGTTTATTTTTATTTAAGATGTTATTAAACAAGCTGGAAGACCTCGGTTCAGCAAAACAGTACTGACATTGTTAAAAACGATAGCTTTTTCCAGCGAAAAAACTATCCGTCAAACTGGATGGCGAGTTACGGTAAAATAAGATGAGAATGGATGCCTTATTATACAATTTTATAACCGTTTCAGGTCTTTGAAGATACCAATTCAGAAGATCAGAAATGATCATCCTCGGGAGAAACATTACTACCATCCTCAGTTTAGATATTCACGACACCACTCCATCACCCCAGTTGTGTTCATTTAATACAGAACACAAACTCATGTACGAGCGTAGAAACATGGAGACGCGATGAAAAGTTAACTAGAGAGAGAGAGAGAAAATAAAGTAAACAGATGAGTATTATCTGTCATCAGGTCAGAGTGTTTAGAGTAGGTGCCTAATTCGACTTCGAATATAAATGCAAAAAAGACCGCTTCCATGTTTTCCCGCCACTGTTAGAAATAGATTTAGATTTTTATAAATTATAAATTTATAAATAAAAGTTTTTCTTTCGCTTTTTTGATGCAATTAACGTGGGTGTTTTTTTTTGTACTTGTATATTTAGAGGTGTCAACCGAAGGGTTGAACGGCGGCGGCGGGCAACAATTTTCAATTTGTAAACATTTCCAACGGCTCGTTATTCAAATGAGTAATGTCTTCAGCGGCGGCTGCTACAAAGTCTTAAATTTTTTCCACATCGGAGGCCCCGGTTGATATTTGCAAGTCCTTATGTGACGGCGGAGGGTGAGTTAAAAATTCGCTGATGAAAATTTTTTATCTCTTACAACGGCGCAACGGCTAAACTTGTTTTTTCGCAGCGGCGGCTCTCCAAAAATTCTTAAAATTACCAGCAATTTGGTGGCGGCGGCGGCTGATACTATAGAAAAATCGGCTGCTGCGGCAGCTCAGCCGCACGGCTGTCACCTCTACTTATAGTCGAAGCGGTAACGATTACTTCATTCTCCATTTATAATCGAATTCGAATTAGGTAACTCATGTGTAGACGGGTGTATGTCCGCCTTTCCTCGCATCCACGCCGATACCGTCCCACCAAACCCTAAAAGAAGGAAATTTAAATCTATTCCTAACTTATAAATGGGAGTGACGCCAATTTATAAATTCATAATTTATAAAATCTAAATCTAAATCTAAATCTAAATCTAAATCTAAATCTATTTCTATATCCTGAATAATAAATGGTCGCGTTTTTTTTCATTTATTTTCGAATTGTGAATAGTTATTCAGATGTCAATTTATATTCGAATTTGAACTAGGCATATCATGAGTGTTTAGTCATATTGTGCCCATTTGCTCTCACAACATTGAGTCAATATACAATGCTCTTAGTCAGTGACATTGTTATCAACATAGCCACAGTTTACCCTCATTTAAATTAGGGCTACCATATGTATTCGATCTGGCTGTCTAGTACAAATAAGGTACACAGGTTGTCCCCTATCTATGTTTTTGAGTATGTGCTACGATAAACTAATCTTTTAATGAAAATGAAAATGAATTATATTTTTCCATCCAGTATCTCTGTCATTTTTACAAAGTTATTTAGATTAAAGGACTAGTTGAAATTCAGCGTCAAATGAAACTGTGGCTTCTGAATTAAAAATTAGACTAAACGACAGGATAAAGTGTAAAGATTTTTTAAACTTGTTCAAAATTAACCAGCCTGTCAAGTACATCGTGTCATTTATAAGATATGTTGTGACTTGTTCAAACATAGCACTGTGACATGTTGGCAAATTGTTTTGCAAGTATCTTGAAATCCATAAGAGCTAACCAGGTCGTTCAAACACCATTCGACGCAGCTCATCATAATCTATTCATGTTGCAAAAATGACCTAGTTTGACTGAACTCTCGCGTTTGTAGAAAGGTTTTATCATCGTGTAACACTGTGACAAAAAAGGGCCCTTTTTCTCTTGGGCTGCTTATAAAGCTCTAATTTTTTGACAAATTATTTCTTCAAATTAAATGCTTATGGTATCAGTTTTCTAGAGAATTGAATGGGCTTTCAAGCAGTAAAAAATAAAATACTTTTTCTAAACTATTTTCGCTCAGATAAAAAATGCAAAAAACAAGCGTAACGCTGTGACGCGTTTCTTTGCCGACCAAATTTGAAGCACTTAACATGCTTAAAAATATTTAATGTTTATATATATTGATCACTGCCGTACATGTATTGTTCTGTAAAAGAATCAAGTTGCTGCATTGAAATAGGAGCTCAATAATTGTACAGCAAGTTAGAAACTGTACGATAGCTTAGAAGTTGTCCTGAGGAATGAGGGTAAAAAATAAACAAGCCATTTTGTAGAGAATTAAATTGTGCATCGAATGGTATAGTAGCCTGCATTTTTGTTCTAAATTTTTTGGTTAGAAAATTGAAAATACGATTTTTGAAAACTTTAAAGCGTGGTTTTCGATGCCAAAACTTGATTTTTTAAGAAAGAAAGCTCAAATTCATAATCAGCGTAAAAAAACTGTACCAGAAAACACGCTTAGATCTGTCCATATCGAAAAAAACTTTTTTCAAAAAACTAGATCAGCGAAGTAGCGCGTTACGTGGACAAGCCGGTCGACAATGTTCTATACTCGAAAGGCTTGAGGAATAAGTTTTTTTTATTGTGATTCATAAAAACCACATTTTTTCAAATAATTGATTAAAAACTAGTTATTGAACATAAATTATAGAAAACTGGTTTTTGAACATAAACCATCGAATTACTGTTGCTAAATAAATTATTAGAAACTCCTAAAATTTGATCAAAAAGTGTTAAAAAATTTTCTTATACAACTTCATTTAGACACTTTAGAATCACGTTAGAGATCACTCATCTTTTTCTTGAGTTTGCTTGTAACTGGACGAAGTTCATGTTATTGTCTCGGTACGAATTCATATAATCGCTACAGAATATGAAGAGCTTCAGGCAACGAGGGAGGTACTTCAATTGAGCTATCTTCTTCTATGGTTTCGGTAATACATACTTTTCTCCTAATTTTCGTACTGTAAGATTAGTACCATTATTGTTATCTTCGAACAATGAGATTTTTTGTTCGAGAGTAAATTAGTGTCGCTTCATTGGTATAGCAATCAACATATGATCGATTCATTTCTCTTCAATACTTTTATGTCAACTTCATTTTGTTCTTTTCTTGACTATGTTTCTCATTCGTATTTTCTTTATTTTACTCGGACTATACTACATTCTATTTACGCCTGATTTTTTTCGTATCTCGTTCAGCTTATTTTCTATCAATTATAATTATTATCATTGCAATTAATTTTTCATTTTAATTAAATCAGTGTGCATGTGCATATTTTACTTTAATTCAACAAAAAAAGTACAAACTTGGGCAAGTGTTCACTTTTGAGAGGTTATAGGTGTTCACATTAGTTAGGTATGAACATAGGGAGGTTTTACTGTTTATGATAAAACTTAATCTTAGTTCTGGTTAATTTGGTACTTAGCATTTGTTAATTGAAAATTTTGTATTTTTGAAATTATAATGTGTTTGTAAGAGTAATTTTTGGGGAAAAACGCAACAATAAATTCGCGAGAAAAAATGGAATATGATGATGTGTTCGATAAAAGCAGTTTTCTCAGCTAACCTTTCTGTTGCACGGTGAAAGTTATGCATCCCAACGACATGCTACAGTATAAAAATAATTATATCGTAACGGTATGTCATTCCAACTTTCATAAACTCTATTTAAAAATTAGGATACGACAGTCCTGGTTTAAATATAATCTTTAATTTAACACTAAGTGCAACTTTTAAGGTTTAGAAGTGAAAGTGTAGATATTTTTAGTAACGTATACATTGTGCAGTTTTCGTTTTTGAGTAAGTGAACAGTACAGTGTAAATCAAAAGTAGCAGATGTTCGGTACATTTTGCTTTTTCTTGAGACATTATAGAAAGACTTCACACAAGTGTTGATTCTCATTTGTTGTCAAAATCGAACAATCGAAAATAGAGACAAAGTTTAAGATAATTAATTAAATGAATAAAATTAAATCTTCAATGCATTATTAGCAATCAATTTTTTACTTAATAAAAATCTCATTTGAGTATTATTCAAATACTGATGATTGTAGCGCCCCTATCGATCATCACCTGTTGATGACGATGCCGTCGCTTTTTCGTCTCTGAAATACTGTTGAACGAGCAAATTCGAGTTTACGAAATTAACTGCTATTCTGACATCATTACTTTTCATTTTCGGTTTCACGAAATGTCTTTTTGAATAGTATGTTATTTGTAATTATCTATTTATTTCTTACCTGTTAAATCTACATTTAAGTTATGCCCGTTGTTTCTTTTGAAATTGATTGTACATCAAAATGCCGTTCAACAACACATTATCTCGATTTAATCTGTGTTGCTTCACAATCGATATCGATTCCAATCATACTCAATTATTTATGTCGATGTGGAAACTGCGCAAAAGGTTATTTAAATTTAATATTCTTGTTGTTTTTCTAGAGTTTCTTTATTTGATTAGGTCATGATAAATATGGTCGAACATTAATACAAGTATGCTCGGCTTTATCGGATAAATGGTCCATAATTGATTGGCTATTAAAACAAAAAAAAGTTGATATCAATATAAAAAATTTAGAATCAGGCTATACTGTATAATCAATTTTCAGTCTAGTCAAATCAATTTTCTTATTAATCTTTGTTTTAGGCATTACATTATAGTGTATTCTATGGGAGAATCGATAATACTATCAACCTTATTAAAGTATAATAATCTTTTCGAATAAAATTAATTAAAAGAGTTCTTTTTTTTTATTTCTAAGGCCGGTGCAAATACAAGTCTATTGGATTATGATTACATGACATATATTGATCATGTTATTCGTGATACATATATAGAAGCATCATCTGAAATATTAGATATTGGTAAATTTTTCTATTTGTGGATTATTATTCAAATAAATATTTCTTTTTTTTTTTAAAGAAACTTATGAAGTTTACACAATGGGTGAAAATACAAATGGAAGTTTAGGACATAGTCAAGTACGAAAAATGTCTTCTTCAACGGTTTTTTATGCTATTTTTTAATTTTCTTCATTAGCCAACAGCTAAAAAAGTTCCTGAATTAATCGATATATTTCGTCGTGATTCAATATGTATAAAAAAGGTTTTTATCAAAAAATGTAGCAACAAAAAAGATAATAAAACACAAAAATGTCTATAGGTTAAAATGGATAAGTATCATACATTATTTTTATCAAATACTGGATCAGTCTATTCATGTGGTTTTGGTATTGGTGGTCGCCTTGGGCATGATAATGAAGAACCTGTTTTGGTAGGAAATATTAGTAGATTACAATTCTGAGAATAAATAAATTTGTTTTTCTTAAGATTCCTAAATTAATTATGGCTATGGAAACAATAAAAGAAACTGAACAAGATCGTTGTATTGATATTGCTGTTACACGTGATTGTTCATATTTTCTTACTGAAAAGTAAAGAAAAGTGAAATCGATTTTTTTTTAAATAATTTATAATACTTCTCTGCCAGAGGATGTTTATGGAGTTGTGGGCTAAATAATTATCATCAATTAGGTCATCCTGGTATGGTTAAACTTTTAGTACCAGCAAAAGTAAAATATATTTATGAATAAAACTTCTATGAAACTTTTACTATCTAGATACAATTTCGTCAAATAAAAGATCGAAATGTTACTCATATAGCTTGTGGTCGTTTTCATGTAGCATTAATTGTTGATGATAGTCAATTATTTACATTTGGTCTCAATGCTGGACATCTTGGTCATCCGAAAGGAAATGATTTATATATTCAACACCCATTACTTGTTACCAAATTTAATAGTCAATCTGAACATGTTCAAAAACTTGTCTGTAATGATTATACTATTATATGTTATACAAATAAAGGAGATATCTATGTTTTAAATGATTATAAATATAGAAAAATTGTTAAACAGTAAGAGAACAATAACAAATTCTTTTTTTCTGTATTAATATTCCAAACTTTCGTTTAGTGTATTAAATGTAACAGAAATAGCTGTAGTAGGTGGAAAACTTGAATCGAATGGTGTACTTGATGAAGAAAATATTGATGATGATTTAAAATTATTTTATGTACAATCAAAAAAAGTATGTAAAGACATATTGATGCAATAAAGACACGTGTAGTGTATTTTTTCTTCCATTAGTTATATCTCTATCATGAACGTGAACCAAATAATAATCGAGCAAAGTTATGCTTATGGACAACAAAACAACGCCTGACTGTTGAACAAATAGTTGCTGGTACAAATGCTATTATTTTTTCAACAAATACTGGACAAGCTTATAGTGCGAGTCTGGACAAATTATTGAATGTTAACAAAAGAATTGAATATGGTAAGAACAAGTGTAGAAATAATTATCAACTTTTATATAGATTCATTATTTGATTTTATCTGACAATGAATAATATTATTTCTATTTTTTTGTAATTGACTTTGAAATGAAGAAAATTGTGTATAAAAATTTTGGAATCGATGTTGCCGTTAAGAGATTGCATTTAAGTGATTATCATTTTTATTGAATTATCTTTTCTTGCAATAGAAAGATCTATTGCGAGTAATAGTAGAAGCAAGGGGGAAACAGCAGACTTTTGGACTTCAAGTTACTTTCAGCTACTTCGAGTAGTTTACTTGGAAGTACTTTTCAATTTCAGATTTACCTGAAGTACTTGAGATTACTTCAAGCTACTTCAGCTACTTGGTCCTACTTTGAACTACTTCAAACAGTCTACTTTGACGTACTTTGATGTACTTTTCTACTTCAAGTCTGCCGTTTCCCCCTTGAGTAGAAGTCTCATCGGTTGATTAATAAAGAATATAAAGTACGAAATAGATATGTGGTCTATCAGCTGACATATGGAGCTTGCACGATAATGACAACATAATTTGTGTAAAAATAAGATTTTTTACACTCATAGAAACGAAATTAAAAATCTATGTTAGTTTATATACAGCAAATAACAGAATACAGAGCTTTTGCCTTGAGAAAAAAAATTGAATTTTGATAAAATTTTGAATCATTACCATATAACATAGTGTTAGAATCTTTAACTTGATTGTATCTGATTCTATGTGCGTTTTGAAATAATGACTCGTCAATATTAGAAACTACTGAAGAACAATAATCATCATAAAAAAAGATATTCAATATTAATTGAGTTTCGATGCATATATTCCCATTGTTATTGATGAAAGTCTTAGTCATTGACGATGTCCGTATTATATTAGAAGAATCATTTAATATTTAAATATAAATTATATTCATAGATTCCTCGTCTAATTCAATTTACGATGAACGTGCTTATCAATATTTAACTCCATCACCTATACCATTACTACATCGATGTCGTGCATTAACTACTGATCGAACAGGACGCTCATTGGTCGCTCTTCAGTATCATCCAACTACTCAGTAACTATATTAGATTAAAATCCAGTGTTTTAGACTAATTTTCTTTAGTTTATATGCATATCCACGTCAACCAGAATCTAGTTTTCACGAAAATTTACGTGATCTATTGAACGAAGCTGAACATATTCATGATATAATTCTTGAAATAAATAATAATCAAACATTTCCAGCTCATAAATATATTTTATGTATGCGTAGTTCATATTTTCGACAATTATTAGCTACAGCACAAATCGATAAATTAACAATTACTAATGATATCAATAGTTTTATTGATCCTGAAATGTTTCAATTGACTCTTGAATACATTTACACAGATCGATGTCCATGGTTGAATTTTATGCACAAAATCAAAACACGTATTGAACACGAATATAACATTTATCTAGCACACATGAAAAACATAAATGATGATATTGATGATCATCGATATTTTGCACGAGTTCGTCAACAAGCTACAATGAATTCAGGACATCATCATCATGTAAAACATGAATCAAAATCTAAAAAGAAGAAAAAAACTGGTCGTATGTGTTTGCTTTTCATTGTCTATTTAAATCTCAAGTAACATATCTTTTTAAGGTAATCTATCACCAACGAATGAATTAGATCTGGAACAACAAAGTGATATAGAATTGAATCATGGATTAGAACAATTAATAGAACTAGCTAAATTATTTCAATTGCAGAGTCTTCGAAAAAGGTTGATTTTCATTGAAATTTTCTTATTCGAAGTTTTTTTTTTGTAAAATTTTTATTTAGACTTGAAACAATAAAACAAAGTCGACAGAGAGGTCCTAATACAGTAGACGAATCAATAGGTCAAATTAAACAACGTTATTGCTATACACGAGAAGCATTGTAAATATATTGTTCTAATTGAAATAGAAGATTCCTAGAAAAAAAAGTATTTATTCTAGACCTGAATTACATGATGTTACAATTATAGCTGAAGATGGAAAAAAGATTTCATGTCATAAATGTATTTTAACAAGTCGTCTTGATTATTTTCGTAGTATGTTTCTGGCTGATTGGATGGAAGTATGATAAATATAATATTAATCAAATAACAAGTGATCGAATTATTTCATATATTTAGAGTCAAAACAATTGCGAATTAAAAATGGCAATACCATTTGATTTATTAGAAATTATTATCGATTACTTGTATACGGATAATATTTCGAATAAATGTAAGTCGTTAACTATTTACTGAGATTCAAATGGACACGAATAAATATTCAGGATAAAACTAAGATGAAATGATTGAAAATAGCCGATTTTTACATATCATCATTACTATTTCTTCGATTCAATGTAAATTTCAACTAGATAGATTATATATTAATTAATTGAATAGAGTATCTGACGATTCTATATCATTTAGCTGATAAGTACAGCTCATCTAGTAATGAATCCTTTTTTCAAAGGAGTCTAGTCTTATTAGATTGGTACTAGTGATAACTAGCGAATGGTAAAGAGGATTTTGAATCTAGCAGTCTTCTTTTATTATAATTATTCAAGCAAATTTTTCAATATAATACCAAGTTTCGTGATAATCAGCTTTTAAACACTAATTTCTAAGTAGAAATATGCGGGTTCTCGATGAAAGTAATTAATTCGTTGTGAAAGTGTCAGATTTTCTGCTTAAAGAGATAATATCAAGGGAACATGACATTATCTTGAAAAACTTATTCAATTAGTTATAATATAAGTCCGGTCGGCATGACACTTATTTAGACTATTGGTTTTTCTATAGTTTTTCCAAGAAAATTAGGACCTGTAACAAACTTAATCCTTCTAATGGCGATCGACAAGAATATTAAAGAAAAATTTCATATTTTTAGTTAATATTGAATATTTGTGTCAAATTCTGGTTCTATCAGATCAATTGCTAATCGAACGACTCAAACAAATTTGTGAATTTCATATAGCAAATTTAGGTAAAATTTTAATATAAAAGAATAATTGTTTTAATCTAAATAAACTAATTATTTTGTATTAATTCATAGTTACATTTCGTGATGCTGTTGAACTTCTTCAATTTTCTCTTACATACAATGCTGAACAATTGAAAGTATTTGTTCAACAATTTATTTGTCGTAATATGGCTACGTTTCTTGAAGCACATTTACTCGATAATCTTGATAGTCAATTATTATGTGATTTAACCAAATCGTATCGAAATTTAGTAAGATAAATATTTCATTTTTATTTAAAGCAAAACATGAGAATCTTCATTTATAGCTTGATTGTATGAATTATCGAATGATAACACCCTATAACGATTGTCCATCATTAGATGATCTCTTGATTGATATTGAGCTATTAGAAAATTTATCCATCGATGATATTGATGAAGCAACAACTGTAATAAAAAAACAACCATCTCAACAGAAAAGAAAACAACTAAACAAGTAAATTTATCTTACAAACAAATATTAATCAATTTTTACAGTAAAACTCTTCTTTAAGGTTACGTACATCTGAATCGGAAAATATTAATAAATCATCACCAACAACATCCATTGAAAGTTCTCCTATTGTGACAACATCTGTTCGTCGGAAAACATCGGAAGAAGAAAAATGGACTCCAGTATCATCGAAAAAAACATCAAAAAATAGTAAAGTAAGTTAATATTGGAATCTTATAATGGCCTTTGTATAATTAAATCTTATTGAATAGAATGTACCAACACCAAGTACATCGAATAATGCTGCAGCAGTAAGTCTAATTCGACCAATGATTCCTGGCGCTGTTTATTCTCAAAAAGAAGGTAAATTAAAGCTGTTTCGAAAAATCAATCTATTGAACTCTTCCTATAGCGGATAAATTAGCTGCAATAAAAAGAGCAGCTGACCAAGAAATAAATGCTAATAAATCAATAATAACGCCTATATCAGTAGAGCAAACGTAAGTCGATACTATAACTTTTATAGAATACTAAATAGCTCTTTTGTTTGTTTCCTAAAGAGCTAAATCATCAATAAATACAAAGGATGAATCTTCCTTGAAAAACCCTTGGAGAACAACGAATGTTCTTTCACCAGTATCACTGAAAGCGATACTGTCAGCAGAAAAAGAAATAAATGTGCCAAAAACAACAATGACAAAATCAGTGTATGTAAAAAAAATTAGATAATTTTCAAAACATTTTAGAATATATTTTATCTGTCCGATATTCATAAGAAATCTATTTATATTGATGAAATTTGCTGTTGTGATGATTTCTAGACCAACAACCCCATCAACTCGTTCATTGCCTATTGTACAACCATCACCACCTCAACATGAAAATATTAAGCCATGGTCAACATTATCAATATCACCATCATCACCGTCATCGTCACTCTATACAAATATGACTATTGCTTCATCACCACCACCAGCTACACCAATGTCATTTAAACATATTCAAGATCAAGAAGCTCGAGCACATGAAGCTCTTCGACAAATCAGTAATAAGTCACTTGAAAAAATTCAGGTTTGCCATAGAATTTATTGTTCATATATGTTCAGTATATTTATAACGTGTAAATAGACAGAAGAATTGGCTATTCAAGCATTGCATCGTTTATATAATTCAGATCAAGAATTCGATATGTTAATTACTATCGAACGTGTTTTACCGGAAATAGCGAATCCGATATGGCCTCGAACACAGGCAACAGCAGCAACATCATTGTCATCACCGAATATTGTTTTGATTACTCAGAGAAAAGGACAAAAATGATGATGCTGATAATAAGAATATATCCTAGTTATTTCATTATTTAGAGTTCTTCGTGCGAGAATACTGCATTCTTGCTGTTTTGTTATTGGTTGTTTGTTTATTTCTTTTGCAATAAACCATATATACGTATATTTATTTTCAGAGATTAAATAGAAGAGCGTGCATTCATTCTTTTATACATGAGATCGTTTAGATCATTAGAAAGATAAAATAACAGATATAGTTATGTAAGACTAAAAAAACGGCGCGTACTTTTCTTATAGATAAGAAACGAGATCTAAACGAAAATATTGTTAAGATATACGAGATGATGATAAGGTGTAATTATTCTCAAATTTTTTTTCTTATTATTAATTATATCACATGACAATAAATTACAGAATGAAGTATTTAATTTAATATATTTCATTGATAAAATAATGAATAAGCATACGTCTATAATGACATACTCACAAGTAACTAGTTAAGAAGATCTCTTATAGACGTCTCACGGATGATACTAATCAGCCCAAATCAAGAAAATGTTGAATTAAACTCTTAATAGAAACCCAATTAGACACAAGATATAAGGAACGAATTAAGAAAATATCTATTCAACCTGTAAAATAATTTGATATTTCATTAACTGAGTTTCGTTATTTCATTATACGGCGATGCCCCAAGAAACATTCATAACCCTTCCCAGAATTTAATCAAAAGTTTATTCGGCCTCGTATTGAGTCATTATTAATCATCATTCTCTTTTAACCCGATGAACGTCATGCATGAATCTATCAAGTACTTTGAGGATGTAAATTCATCATACTACGCATTGAACTTTTTGTTAAAGATTACTGTTAAATATTTTAGATGTTAAAAATAAAATCTCATCCGTTTTCATCTCTAAAACGTACAGTATATCATGCCATAAAATCAATAAATGAAGCGCCGACTCTATATTCAATACCATCGGCAAAACTCTCAGCTGGTCGAATGCAAGCTTGGATTATATACTATTATGGTACTAATCAGCAATTTACTCTCTCAGATAGTGTACCATTGCCAATAATATTTTCACCAAAAGATGTTCTAATCAAAGTGTCAGCCAGTAGTATTAATCCAATCGACATTCGAAGACGAGGTAAAATACTAAAAACAATAATTTCCTTGTCTTCTACGTCTTTCTTTTTTAATATACTAGAGGGTTATGGTGGTAAATTAATTGATACTTATCAATCAGTAAAAAATTTTGTACAATTACGAGGGAACCAATCAAATAAACTTGAGTTTCCTATCACATTGGGTCGTGATTTTTGTGGTGAAATTATACGAAAAGGACCAAAAGTAACAAAATTCAACGTCGGTGATAAAGTAGGAGTATTAGAAAAGTAAAAGCAAAACGAGAGTTTTATTTAATTATTTCATGTTTTACTATTTGAAAGGTCTACGGTGCATTAAATGTAACACGACAAGGTAGTTTTGCTCAGTATTGTGCTGCTGGAGAAGATGAGGTAAATATTTCAAGAAAACACTAAAAGAAATAGAAACCATTTTAATCTATTTTAGATTTGTTTAAAACCGAATAATATATCAGACGCAGAAGCATCTGCATTGCCACTTGTCTCATTAACAAGTTGGTATGCCATAAGAAAACTTAGTGGTTTTAATGAAGAGAATTCGATAGGAAAACGGTAAATAGTAATGATTCTTTCTTTTTTAATTTTCTTTTCAAACATTATTTTTATACTTTAGTGCATTAGTCATTGGTGCGGCTGGTGGAGTTGGTCATATCGCAACTCAAGTAAATAAAAACTGATAGCATTAGAATTTTGTTAGAAAATATTCGTTGGTTTTTTTCCTGAGTCATCAACAAGCTATTCGACTAGACTTAGAAGCAGTGGTCCATGAAGTTAAAAGAATTTTGACAAAATTTCAGTTTGCATAGAAATCTTCAAAGTTCAAAATGCACAACAACTTTAAATCGATTAGTTTCTTCTATCATTTTAGTTTGTTGCTTGAAAGCCTTAGTAACTTTTTAATTTTTTAAAAGAAGTATTTTGAAATAGAGATTCTTTAAACAAGTTCGATTTCCATTGAAATCATTCTCTCTTTTTAACAGAAAGGCATCTATACAATTGCACATAGTCGAATATACCATTCAGTACTCGAAGATAATGTTGACTTGTAGCTATTCTGCGAGAAAAACTACGGACTCTACTGTTGAGCTGTGATCTTATTTTCAAGATAAGTAATTATATATGCAGGATGAGTGATAATGTCTGATTCGAACAAACTACGTTTGGCAAACTGAAAAACAAGCAGATATTTTGTGCTAAGACTTACATACTTTGGGTTAAATAGAATGGTTTAACATAATGATTGTGTTTCTTTTTTCTTTTATTAAAATAGCTACTGAACAATCTTGGAATGGAAACAACTGCTTTATGTAGTCAAAGTTCATTTGATTATGTTCGGCAATTAGGTGTTGAAGATGCAATTGATTATCGTCAAAAAGATTGGTTGAGTGAATTAAGCCAAAAAGCGAAGTAAGAGATTTTTCTTGTTTTTTTTTCAAGTACTTTATGATTTAAACAATCCGTACACTGTGTACTTCTACCTCTAAGGAGACTACCTATCTGTTTATAGATATTGTTTGTTTTATATACAGATCAGAGATACTACTATTGGTCTGACTGACACTGCGCAAACCTATATAGCGAGATTGAGATACCCATCAGTCGTCAGCAGTATTATGTGAAATAATTGTTGAAAAACGTTTTGATCAAAACAATTGTTATCTAAATAATGTTATACATATTTAGATATGATATTATACTCGATACGGTTGGTCCAAAGTATTATAGTTTTCAATTGATGAATACTCTATTAAATCCTGGTGGTACATTTGTTACAATAATCACACCAATTTTTCGTAATGTTGATAAATATGGTCTCATTTCTGGTCTTTCTCGTACGGCATATACAGCTGCTAAACAAACTTTATACGTAAGAAACTATATTCAACGGAGAATTAAAAATGAAGAGAAAATTTTACAATTTATAAGTAGGGATGGTCAAATAATTTTAATTATCGATGGGCAGTCTATAGACCTGATGGAGAAGTTCTTCGTCAAGTAAAAAATCTTGTTGAACAAAATAAAGTAAATATTTCTATAGGAGTAATAAAGAAAAAGGTGAAAATTCTTTTTGTTTTAGTTAACGATTAAAGTTGATCCGAAGGAATTTTCGTTTGAAAATATACCTCAAGCCATATCTTATTTAGAGAATGGTCATGCAAAAGGCAAAGTTGTAATTAAATATAGTAGCTTTCGATAATTGAATAAAAGAAAAGAAAAAACTTGAATATAATATTATTTTTTATTTTATTTTATTGTATAATTCATCATCATCATCAATGCTTTGATTTTCATTTTTTGCAATAGCAACAAAAAAATATGACGCAAGAAAAATCAGGAAATCAGTGTTGCCGTAGAGAAAAAATATTTCAAATGCATCAACGATTTTTTTGTGTCACTTTATTGAGGCAATGCTTTTAATAAATAAGTAACTTCTTCTGCAACAGCCACGAATACAAATTCGAAATGATTCTAGAAAAATAGAATTTAATTTTTCTATAAAACAATAACGTCTCTCGTTACTTTTGTCTTGACCATTTTAGCTCGTTGATCTCGAATATGTTCTAATGTAGCAGCAATATTAATTTCTCGTGCTCCTTTGCAAATACGATTTAAGACAATGTCCAAGAGAATATAAGTACCGGCACGTCCAACACCATCACTTGAATGAGAAGAAAAAAAAACAGGAATTCAATATTGCACTTGTTGTACTTTTCTATTCTGCTGAGAAAAGAAAATACATACTTGCAATGAACAATAATAGGTGACGATCGACCACGGAAACATTTGTTCACTTTTCTATGAATATAGAAGAAGAATAGAATTCAGAATTTTAAAGGCACGCTTTCAATTTTATTCTTTTGTTTATTTAATTATTAATAATTTATTATGTGCATCAGTGATTCTCATCTGGTCGCTTTTGTGACTATGCAATTATTGATTTCAAATTGCATAATTTTCAAAAGCTGCCAGAAAAGAAATACAAGTTTCTATCATTCCATATGAACGTTCATTAGTAGACAACAGATGCCTGAGTATCAAGTGCCTGTTTTTATTATAACCAATTATAGGGAATATTCTTTACTTTGACGTTATTCCATCGAATTACGAAGAACTATAAAAGCAACTTAGTCACACATATTCATACATGCTCATCTCTATTCACGTTTCTATTTCATATAAAACGACAAGCTACTTTTTCTTCTCATTAAACTTTAAATTAATGAATAACTAAAGCATGATTATCTATTTTGTGCTTGTGTTTCACCTATAAAAAGCAAACAACTCTTATAGACATACCGTCGGAAATCAAGTAGAACTTTAGCCGATGGTGGATTATTTAATTCGCCCCATGTTAAAAAGTGAAATTGTGTTACAGTACGTGTTTCCATTGTTTGAACATTTTTTAAATAAAAACTACGAACTAAATAATCATCCGACCAAATATGTTCCGAAACGAGATTGACCTTATTAAAAACAAAACAAAATTATTTCTTAAGAAAGTTTTCTGTTTTTTTCCTACTTCGAAATCATTAAATCGTGCTGAACCTTCCACTGGCCAATAATGATGACACATTGTTATACCATTTTCAACTGAAAATTAAAGTATTGTGAAATGTTTTAATAACAAAAAATAACAAAAAGAATTTATTATTACTAGGTCGAGTCAATGCTACGATGACACACGATCCTTGTTCCCAAACCATTTCCCAAAATGCATTTGTTGTATTTGGCATTGGACCTTGTGTAGCAATATATTTGCATTTTGGATCAGAATCCGTCTAATAATAAGAAAATAATTCATTGCGTTTTCTCAATAGGAAATACGTTTATAGGATAAACTTACAATTGGACTTGCATTGATATAATCGTCGTCGCCATTGTTTGCAAGTCGAATGCGTGCGTGATCATCTTTAAGAAGAAAAAGAAGAAGAGAGTATGAATATAAATGTGTTTATTTTCTTTCTATGAAACAAAATGATGATGACGATGATAACGACATGCCAATTTGAATCCTAAGTCGATCTAAGTATGACATGCACAATGCACCTCTTCTTGTTTGCATCCATGAAAAAAAAGGAAACGAATAGAAGCTGTACTACTCAGATTCCGATTCTCACTTCTAATTAACAGTAATGAGAAAAGAAAGAAGAACGGAACTAACGGTTACTTTACTTTTCTTCTATTTCTTCGATGACTTTCTAGTTGGCTCTCATTTCATATTAATCTGTATAGTTATATATAGAAAAGTGAGATGTACATAAATATGAAAGAGGTCTTCTCATATAGTTATGTTTAACATATGTGACCCGCTAAAGGCAATATTGATGAAAAACACATAATATAAAACAAAAAAGTAATAACAATTGAAAATAAGTACAAATAAATGTCAATCGATGTTTGGCTAGATACATTCTTTATCTTCTCTTAATTAGTAGATCACAAGTTAGTTAGTTGAACTTACATGGTATACAGTCTATATATCGATTTTTATTGGTATTTCGTTCTGAAACTGCAACAGCACATGACGATCGTTCTTCGTTTGCTTCATCTGTGCATAATGCTTGCCATTCAGCTTCTAAACGATGTCGATTACGTAGATGATCTTCCATATATGACTAAAAACAAATGGTTTTTATTTTAAAAAAAAGAAGAACCCTAAAGAATGAAATGAAATTTTCATACTAAAATAAGATGACCAGTCATAATATCCATATTAACGGGAGCAACGGGCTCTTCACTCCTATAATCAAGCAAAACCATAGAATAAAAGAAAAAATGTATTAAAAAATAAAAAACCATGATGATGTTGAACTTCGTGTTGATGAACCTTCACTATTATGTTTAGTATGACTAGCAGCTGATACTGTAGTTGCCCCTGCATTTGATGGTGATATTTGATGAGTCTTGTGTATTTCAGGTGATTTACTACCTGTCGGTTGAGTTTGCATTCGTTGTCGGCACAGTTCCTTAAAATGAAATGATAATTATATTGAAAATTTCTTCTAGAAATAAACTAATCTGTTTACTTGATAGTAATTGGTTGATAAACCTCTAATATGTGTTATTTCAGCAAGTTTGTTTCGTATGCGGTCATTCCGTTTGATGTAGTAAAGTAAAGCAAATGCACCCATAATGAAAAGTACCAAAGCACAAGTAACCAATATAACCAATGCCCAACGTGAACCATTTTCTCGTTCAACTGATAATTGACTACCCTGTAAATAATAAATCAAAAGTAGTAGGTTACTTCGCCAGATTTTCTTCTTCTTCTTTGATCACAATTATGATAATTTTTCTTTTTGCCGACTTTCATTTTCTTTTCTTCCATCATCCTTCTTCCGTTTTTCTTTCTTTATTACAGTAAGATTTTTGAAAGATACTTTTTCATTAATATTAACGATCTAGTTTTTACTTCATTTATAATTTCATACGAAAAATAATTGAAGAGAAAAAGAAGACAACTCGTTTTTTTTTTATAGATATAAGATACGCTCGTATCCGACATGGTTTTTTTTTAATCTAATTTACTTACTTTTCTTTTATTTTGCAGTGGTTACTGTATATATGAATACGAAGTTATTCATTTTCTATTCTGTTTATCTCAGTATATAAATGCATCATCTAATTATACCAACGGCAAAATGGGAAAGGAGCGAGACATGAAATTAAAAAATTTTTCTCTCATTATTTTCTTTTTATTCTTCTTCGTCTTCATCAATTGAGCTTTTGTGCTATTAAGTTGCCTACTAAAATTTAGGTTGACACAAAGTAGTAGAGAAGAATTATCAATTATGCATGCATTTGCGTGTGAATCTAATGGATGCTCGATCTTTGTCAGCGCATTCGTTCGTGCAATCATTAATGGAGAAGTCACACCGACAAACAGACACGCACATCAAGATCGAGAAAAATTCAATAGAAGATTCTCTACAACTCATTGATCTATTTGTTGCTGAAAGAATAATGCATACATACATACATATATATATATAAATAGAGATAGAACAAAAAGGAAAGAAAGTTAAGTATGCGGAAGAATAGTGTGCGTATACTTCTAAAACTAATGACTATGAAAATGAATCAAGTTCTCTAAGAATAAATCTAATCTTATATAATGTTCTATTGTTGATACAATCTACATGATAGATTGTAATTACGAATATTGCATACAATGAAAAATTGTCTATTTAAATCGTTATTCGAGCATCGGAATATAAACGAACATGGTAGCTATAAATAAATAGATAGCAATATGCAATGCATGAGATTGTAAAAGATTATATGTACGCAAACTGATTTAAATGACATCAGACAATGAAAAATATTCTATGAGATAAAAGGCACGATCTGTTTTAGTTGTTTCGTCAAGAAGTAAATATATTTAAGTATATCTCATAATCCGTAAGAAGAAAAAATTGACAAGTGATGATAGCGTCTGTATGACAGAAAGTTCTTTTGTTGGTTTAATGATGAAAATTATGAATTCACAAAACAGCGGTAGTTATATTACTCTGTAATTTCTCTCTTACTCAATGATCAGTGCTTGAAAAAGAAAACATTTATTTTTATTTTTAATTATGAAAGCTATTTGCAGTTCATCATTAAAAGTTCTGATACTATCTATATAAGTTTTTTACAATTTGTTTCACTAATTGATTGGAACTTGAGTAGATGATTGTCTATGGAAAAAGAAACATTTGCGTAAGCAAATATTTTAAATCCAAATATTTCGTATTCTATTATACGGTACAAAACAAGTCAACGGTCAGATTTATTAACTTACCGGAAAAGATAAATGGAAACAGGAAATGAGGTGTTAGTGTAACATTTAAACATAGTTTGATGATAAGCAATCTATTCTTAGTATAAGAAAAAAAGTGTAGACTAAGAAAAAAGAAGAAAGAGAAGCAATCCTATCTCTTATTTTTATCAGAAAGAAAAAAAGAAGAGAAACAGTCGTTTTATTTTTTTTGCGCATCAACATCACTTTGAACAGTAGTAATAAAAGAAGAAGAAAAGAAAAAAATAATATACATATCCTATGCATTACTATTCAATGTAACATAGTATTAAGAAACCACATTCATCATTTATAGATTATCCTTCAATGCACAGTCATGAACGTGTGTTTGTATGCTAGGCTCATATTATCATTGTATTCTGTTAGATAGTAAATATAGTAAGCATGATGAATCTCGATTTGCTACGCGTGTGTAAAAGAAGAAAAAGAAGAAGAAGAAAAGAGTCAAGTATCGACTTTGAGCCTCAAGGCATGTTCTAATTGCAATCACTAGTCACTAGTAGAGTCAACACCAACATACTACACAATAGCCAGATAGTATTTCTTATGTCTCTTCCCTCTCTCTTTCTTTTCATATGTGTTCTTGTATATATATATATATATATAATAATAAAATGTGTATGTATGCATGTGTGCATAGCACTGACTGTGCCGATCTACTAACAGAAAAAAAAACGTGCTTGTTAGATTTTCTGATTATTCTTCATCTCATCTAGTTTTACATTTGCATATTTTCCCATTTATTTCTGTATCTCTTACTCGTATGGGATTGCCAATGCCAGAATCAGTTACATGAATGCCCAATTGATTTTCAATACTTTTTTGATTGTTTACTAAAATAGAAAAATTAATTGAACGAGTGAAGTTCCTCTCGTGTTTATATAATTTTTTTCCTATCTGCATAATATTAAATATGATAAACAGATGATTTTTATGGATTGATGTCATATATTTTCTGCTTTTTAAGCTTTAAAACTGTCTCTTGAGAACCAATTTCATTATGCATTCCGTCAAAAAGACATAGAAAAGTAGAAAACGACTAAAGTTGATGCTATCTGTCTATCATTTTGAACAGGAAGAAAAAGAGGAGACAATTGACAAAAAAAAAACCGAATAATGAAATTGAACAGATAATTTTTTAAATGATTGATGATGCGATAACACATGACAATCGCATAATTAACCTCTGAAAATGGCAATATGAGTAATAAATATATCAAAGAAAGAATTTTTATACTTGAAAATAATTCTTTTCATTTTTAATTCTAAAATTATATTTAATTGTAATTCGTTGGACGCAATCCTACTGACATATTCCAAGGCATAAACAGATAGACAAAGATAGAAAAAAAGTATTTTGTATTAAAATAATCTTGACTTTTGAATATTATTAAATTTAAAAAAAATTGTAATGAGTATACATACTATATGTGCCAACGCATTCTTTTATCTCAGGGTGAAAAGAAACTTTGAGTTCTCTATGTTATTATTAATAGTTAGAAGATGAAATACCTCTACGCAAAAGCGATATCACGCATATTTGCATATTTAAACATAAGAAATGTTTTTATTTTTTTTATTTTAAGAAAAAGACTTGCATAATACTTAAAAATAACTATTTACTTACAAGCTGCACTAGCAACATTGCTTGCATTTATTTGATAGGCATTATCCAACACATGAAATGTTAGTACACGATGATCAGCACTTGAAAAGAAAAGAAAATAGAATAATTATTTAGTAATAAGTTTTTAACATACTTAAGTTCAGTAAAAATAGTTGCTGGCCAAGAATTCATTTGTGCTAAAAGTGATAATAATCGAGCTCCTTCGATTGCATCTTTAAAACTACATAGATAGATAGATATATAAAGATAAAAACAAAATAGAAAACAAGATGATGATATGCATACTCTCGGTTGATTATAATATAGCCTCGAGCTGTCTCAACTGCAAAATAACGTTCGGCATCACTTTTGTTGATTGTCTTATTGTTCTTTTGAATGATACGGGCTGAAATAGAAAACAAAACAAAACAAAAAAGGCAATGCATATAAAAAAGGCAATATCAAAAAGAGATCATTACGCATTTCGTTTTGAACTAATAATGGAAATGCTTGTTTATTATTATTGATTTGTAATGTTTCTAATAAACCTGGATGACCTTCACTTGTATGTACAGATACTTTTGTTGGTTCGCCTGAAAATACACAAAAATAGATATGATTTTCAACAGAAAAATTCTTTTTCTAATTACGCATCATAGACTCATCTTCAGTTAGTTTAGCTGGTCTTTCGTCAAATGTAAGTTTATCATCATTTAAAACGTATGTATTAAAACGATGGAGCTTTTTTAATTGTTCCTGTTCTTTTTGTTGTGCTATTGCTTTTGCTATTCCAATAGTTATTGGAAGTAAACGAGCTGCTTCAACATATTCTTCATCTGATTCATCATATTCCATCAATACTGGAACAGCATTATATGCATTATTAAGACGAATCAGTGCTTTATCCGATTTTGTCGAAGGAAAATATGGATCTTTATAATAGGAATCTAAAACAGAAAAAAACACAATCGAAAGATTTTTTTAGTTTTTCAAGAATTATAAATAAATTTCCATTTTACTTTCGTTTGGTTGGTACAATTCTAATTGACGACGGTACACATCTTCTTCTTTCGCAGCTTCTAATTCATCTAAGACTTCATCTTTATGTAAACAATCATAATAAAAATTTTCCAAACTATTTCGAGTTATTTGATTTTCTGCAGATAATATATGTGATAAAATACATTGTGTCATATAATCTTTCCAGTTTAGATCATAACGCTGTAAAAACTCTAGCGTTTGTTCAATTGCAATAATTTTATCATCGGTTAATCCATCGACACCGGCTTGTAATGCAAATGCTGAGCGTGCTGTTCCTTTACCATCCCAACATTGTCCAAAAAGATCATCTAAGCAACGAAATCAAATGAGTTTTTTTGTTTTTGTACGATTGTTTTCATCATATTTCTTTGCAATTCATGAAAACTAATCAATCGTGCCTTCATCACTAATGGTCTATAGTTTTTTTTCAAGAGTACCGAATTTAATATCGTTTATCTGTACTCAGCAACCTTGAACAGGGACCGTGGAAGCCGGGAGGGGGAGGGGGGAGAGTGTAAACCCCCCAGTAATTGAAAATTTTCAATTTTTTCCGTCAACAAGGGTAAATTTTCTGTACTTATTTTGCTAAACTTTGTTGAAAATACCCTTTTACCCCCCCCGCCCCCCCCCCCCCCCCGTCAATCTTAGGTCCTTCACGTGGCCCCTGGCCTTGAGCACAATAAAAGCGGAGGTATTCATATTTTCAACAAAAGAGCATTTACAGCGATCAATACGTTTGTATTTAAAACAAAAGAATACGTTTTTTGAAGGTTCTCATGGGAAAGAAAATTTTTATTTGACTTAATATGTAGCTAAATTATTAACCTAGTAGAAATTTGAAATGTTTTACTTTATTTTTTTTCCAAAAATTTGAAATTAGTTATTTTTCTGAGAAGATTTTTTTCCGATGTATTCTATGACGAAAACTTACCATCATAACAGGCTTCATTTTTATTACATATATCATAATCGTACTTGCAGCCTGTAAATAAAGTAAATTTCGATTTATTTATTTTTCGTATTTTTATAGCAAGAAAAAATATTTTCAAACCTAATAATCCTTCAAAAACAATATCTTGTTCAGATACAAAAGGGTATTCACTGGATTCAGCTAAATTAACGTCGACATCATCGTTGGAAAAAGTTTGTCGTTTTAGTCGTTGTACTGCTGTTACATCATTGGTAGCTTTTTTGGTAGGTGCCGCATAGATAATAGGCAATGGATTTAAAAGTATAATTGCTATTAGACTGACCAAACGACGGCAAGATGCAGAGGACGAAAGTAAAAAAGGAAAGGATGATTGGGCCATATTCACTCGCTACCACAATATATGGACATAACTTTAAAGAGTGGTAGCAGTATTTGTTATTGTTGGGTTTATTGTTATTTTGATGTTAACCATGCGTTCCTTTCGTAACTTGGAGAAAAAGAGAAGAGAAAAAAATAGCGAGAAATAGAAAAAACGTTCTTTTTTTTCGCTCAACTATTATAGTTCTACGGCAGCGTCGCACAAAACTATGTTAGTAGGAAGCAGATTCCTTTTTTCCTCTTTTTTCCTTTCTCCTGGCAGCTTTTGTTATAACGCAATAAAGTCAAAAAAACTTTCAGCTGCCTAATGAACATGTGCTCAACATTTTAAATATTAATTCAGCCATGAAATAAGAACTTCTTCATTTTTTTTCTATCGTCATTATTGAAAACTAATGTTTTAATAGGATACATCAATTATATTTCCGTTGTATTTCATTTTTCATCTTGATTCTGCATTGCAATCCGAAGCTTTTGCTTATTTTCATAATATTTAGCCTTATTTCGTGCCAGACAGGAATGATGATGAATAGTATCTATCGACTCTATACACTGATGTTTATAGGTGGGTTAAAAGCAAGACTCGGCTTTTTTTTCATCTAGCTGAAAAACAAGTTATAGAAGGAGCAAGAAAAAAGGAAAAAAAAGAAAAAAAAGTTATCTCGTCTGCTCGTTCCTTGCCGGTTTTACCGACCGTCAATGCGCTCACGCAATGTTCATCGTAACAACAGTCAATACTGTCACCATCATTCAACTGCTTGTTTGTCTGAAGAAAAGAAAAATGGAACTAAGTAGTTACGCTAAAAACTAGAGAACAACATTGAGCGCCTCTGCTGTTTCTTTTTTTCTCTCTCTCTTGATCGTCTTCTATTGCGTCTATTATTCCATAAATATTTTAAGGACAAATGTGGGCGACAATAAGCTTTTTTTATCGCATCCTTTACTTATTAAAGAACGTGAATGAACCGTAGGCGGACAGATGAATAAACTGCTCAAAGGCGTTGAGGTGACTGACGACAAATCGATCATAACTTGTTTGAAAAATAACAGAAATTTTCTGTTTAATATTAAATGATTGCACATTTGTAGGATAAATATTAGAATAAAAAAACGAAGCTAATACCTGTGGTTTTGTTGATTAATTCTGTAAAAGTTATTACTTAATTAGAATCTTATTTTGTTTGGTTCAGTAAATTACTTGCTAGTTGGTTTTTATAGAATTTCCTCACTTCTTTTTAACAAAAGAACACGATGAAATGATTATATTAATTTGAAAAAGTAGTTTTCAAATAAACCATGCCTGTTAATAAAATTTTGACTTTAATATCACTAAAGCATATTTGTCACAGAAAAACAAAATCACTAAGAAAAATATGACGTTAGTTCTGTTATTTCTTATATAAGTAACTAAATAATTAACATGGCTTATCATTGACTTTTATCAAATCACGAAGAGCATTCAATGTAGCTATGGTTTGTATACTTTGACACAATATTTTTTATGCTGTAAAATATGAAAAACAAAAAGTGGAACTATAAATATTCTTTCAGCTATTTCAGCTGTTTACTATCATGCACTTCTCTCTCTCTGTCTCATGCATTAAACTAATTATAATTTAAATTATTTCTTTCTTTGCACTCCAATTTAATTAAGCAGTAATATCATGAAACTGAATTGTTCTTCAACATATAATAACAGATGGAAAAATATTCAGTAAAATCTAACCCCGAAGTTCAATGAAGATAAATGAATTGGCAAATTTTTAATCCTGATGTCAAAATAACTATCAGAAATATGATAACGATTTTTATTTATTTGTTTTCATGTATAAAAACAGTCAAAAAGAAAAACAGAAGTGTGTGAAAATTTTAACTCAATCAATTTTGTAATCACGTAAAATAGTTTGAACTTTATCTGTTGATGAACATTTGTTTTCTAGCTTTTGCAGAATTGTTTCCAATAATTTTTTATCATCACTACCAAGAAAACTTAATTGTGTATTGAATCTGGGCGTTAGACGTATTTCATACATTGAATTAAGTAAATGTTCATCGATAGTCGTTTCATTTGACCATAGAAGTAAAATTCTTGAAAAAACTGATGAATCAATACCAGTAGAAAATATTGTTTTATAAGATTTGGGCGGAATTCTCTTGAGATAAATGGCTTGCTGTTCAATTTGATTGTTTAAATTTAACCAATCACGTTTAAATTGAAATCCTGTTGTTGGAATTGCCGTTGGAATAGGTATTGATTTAGTTGGTGGCTTTTCAATTGTTGTTGGTTTTTTAGATTGTACTGACAAAGGAGTAGTAGCAGTGATGATGGTAGAAGGCGAAGGAAGGACAGATGATATTGACGGAATTATTGATTCAGAAGACTTTGGATCCTAAAAAAGAATCAGATTGATTGTTTCGAATGAATAAGAAATTGAAACTTTTACTGTGTCCATTTCTTCAATAATAATCGCTTTTTTCTTTGTTGTTTCACTTATTGAAATAATTGATGTATCGATTTCTTGTATTTCAATTCTTTTTAACGGTTTAGTGGATCGTTTATCGATAGGTTTATCTTGTAATGGATAAATTCTTCCTAATCGTTTAATTTCATCTTTCTTATTAACTTCCGCTAATTTCGTTTTTGCGTCGGCATTCGATGGTTCTCGTGCGAGAATGTATTGTAAATCTTCTCTTGCTTGATCAAACTTTTCCATTTCAACACGTGCTAATGCTCTTCTATAGTAAGCTTTTAAATAATTTTCATCAAGTTGTATAGCTAATGTACAATCAGCTTCACAGGCACCATAACGTTGTTCAAATAGTTGACATTGAGCACGATTAGCAAAATAAATTGGACATATTGGATTACATTCAATTGCCTTGGTATATGACTCAATAGCTTCTGTATATTGTTTTTGTTTAAAGTGATAATTACCGCAATCTTTATAATATTCGCCTTTCTTTTTTAATACTTCTTCTTGCCATTCTTCATCTTCTTCATCGGCATCACCATCATCTTCTTCGTTGTTGTTGTCGTCTTCTTTTTCTTGTTGTTCATTATCAATTTGTGCACATGCTTCATCAACATTGAATTTATCCCATGCACGATAATCAAATGAGCGTATCGATGAAGTTTTTGTTGAACTGTTGTTCTTTTTAGATTTCTTTTTTGGTCTTGGTGGTACAACAAAATTGCGTACCGGTGGAAGCTCTTTTATTGTTGATGTTGAATTTGCTGTAGTTTTTAGATTTTCTTCTTTCTTTTTTATGTCATCTGTCCAAGAATTTAAATCTTTTAAATAGTCAGTTAAATATGAGTTATTTTCACGCATTTGATATTGCATATCAATTAATTTACGTTCGTATTCCGATGTCATGATTTCTTTCTATTTGTACGAAAAGACAATGTTTAAATATATTTCGTTTTGGTTTATGATTTGTGAAAAAATTACTTGATAATTTTATTTAATAGAAAAACGAAAAAAATTGTCTTGTTACTTATAGTAGCTTCGCAAAGAATTGTTCTGAATGGATCTTTGCTTAGTGAAAATTTCTTGTCTTGGATTCCAGTAAAATGTAATCAATCGCAACAAACAAATAGATGGCAACGATTGCGATAGATGTCTATATGTACAAGTAATTCTATCTTGAAACATTCTCGTAATACTAATATCAATTGACATGTAATTATGTTTTATACTATCAAATTGGTGGTCTTTTTAAACTTTCTTTTTTCCTTTTAAAAAATGATAATTTTCTGTCTCAAATAATCAATTGTCTATTGAAAAAGAGGTCGCACTGCATTTCTTCTCCATTAAATTTTAATGGCTAAGATATGTCCCATGTAATGTACGTAACGATGGAAACAGTCGGGTACTGTCTCTTTTTTCAATGGAATTTTGATTTTCTTTAGATCGAATTTATCGATTAAATTCAATGGATACAAATACTTTTTCTCTGGAAGAAATTCGTCGTGAACTTGGCCGTTTAGGTTATGAAGGTCTATCAAAACAGACGCTTTTAAAATTTCAAAATGATTTAGACGAATTAGCACAAAAAGAAAAACGTCAAGGTAGTTTTCAATAAATTTATAATATTTCTCAATTTTTGTATTTTTATTTCTGTTTCCTAAAAGATTTGTTCGAAGTAAAAAAGTCTGGTTCCAGACTTCAATCGAATGTTGATTTCACAGTAATGTTATAATGATTGTCAGTTGTCCTTGTCAATCAATATTTAATATTTAGATTCACCAACCAAGTCCGTCAGATAATGAATATAATCGAAATGATGATGATAATGAAAGTCTCGACGAAACCAATACGCCAACGTAAATTAAATAGCTGTTATTTTTCAGCGAAGAATAATTGCAATATATTAATTCTTTAGCATATCAAGTTTTCATTATCGACCAAAACTCAACGAAGATGATAATCAAAGTGATACATCATCACAGAAAGTTATTAAACGAAAAGTTCTTAGGTTAGAACAAAATAGATTTCTTGTAGAACATAGCATATGTTATTTTTTTCATTTATTTTTTAGACATTATAATGGTAGACCAACTGTATGTGATGAATCAAGATCAGGTTAGATTATTTGAAAGACATTTTATTTTATCTCTAATTCCACTTTGAGTTTGTTTCTAGAAACAGGGTCTGTGCTTGATTCACGTGATTCAAGCTATTTGAATGATCTTAATTATAAACAAAAGCGGGGACGTCGACGAATCGAATCTGCATCCGATATCGATAATCAATCAACATTCAGTGAAGATGTAATATTATCGAATAGTTATCTTAAAATGTTTCTTTTAAAAAACTTGTTTTCATTAGACTCGTTCGACATTATCAATTCATCCAGTAAAATCATGTAAGTCAAGGACAACAGTAGGGTTTGAAATTAACAATATGTTTTCGAATAATTAGTTATTCGTCCATCGACAGCATCAACTGCATCTCTTCGGCGTTCTCGTAGTTTTTCAAGTAGTCATGTAGATTCAGTTCAACTTTATTCCTATTATCGACAACAATGGGCATCACAACGAGCACCTGGAGAAAAGTCACATCAAAGTTTACGATGGGCCGTTCGTGATCAGCTCTTACAGAAAGATGTTCCTGTTAAAGTAATTTTAGTTGTTTAGTTTTACATTTTCTATGCTATTTTACTCTAGAGAAAATCTATGCCTCGTGTGAATAACTATGTTGTGCCAACATCAAAAAAACGTTCAGCACTTCGTTGGAATATTCGCTATTCACTTGCCAATGGTTTACAACCATCAAGAGATTTAGATGATTTTCTTTATTAATATATATATATATATATATATTCCATTCGTTTATGACACACAAACTCGGGAGTTCTTTGATTTTTCTCTTGTTCTTCTTTTTTTGTTCACTTTTTGTATATGTGTCTTAATAGATATAAAAATTAAATTTTTCCACGACATTGTAAAACAGGCACACGACTTCTTGTTTGATTACTTTGAGGATTAGTTGGTAATGTCATAAGTGTATATTGTGTACCAGTCATTAATGCATAACGAGCTGAAAAAGACAAATATAAAATAAATAATTGTATAATATTGATAAAAACAATGTAAAAATATTGTCTTTTTAGTAAATCATATGATTCGTAATACGCCATTATTATTGGTGTAGTTAAATTTGAAACGATGCATATAACTTTTGATTTTTCTCATGTCTTCGTACTCGTGAGAGACTTTATTTAAAACGTATTAATAGGCAAATTTCGTGTCGATCTGCCAGAATTTAAAATTAATAAGGCTTTATCTCGCGAACAAAAGAGTTCAAAAAAACATGCTGAAAGCTAATTTTTTTTATTAGAAAAATCTGAATGACTCAAAAGTCTACTCGATCTAATAATCGTTACGTGCATGCTCATCTATGTTATCATTATTTGAATGTTAATACACTTGAGAAATCTGATGATCGAATGCAAAGTTCTTGTTTTTTTCCAAAATCAAATCAACTTACGTTGTTTCGTTTGTTTATTAGCAGATTCGACACGTCTATCGGTTCGTCGACGGAAATAAGCACTTCCAGGTACACATCCATCAAGTTCGACTGTAAAAATGTCTTCAAAATTATGTACTACCACAATATTACTCTTTGGTAAACTACGAGCGCCATGAATAGCTGCTTTCAATTCATCTTGTACAGCTCGTTTTTGATGTTTCTCCCAACTAAGAACACGTCCGCGTTGTTCAATATTAATTGTATTTTTTATGACCTGTTTTTTAAATGAAATTTCGTCAAAATGAACAGAAGCAGAAGTCATATTACTTACATTCATTCGCATCTTACTCCAATGATCAGTATTCAAATGGTATCGTGCTGACATATTTGATCGATTGTTTTGACTAAATAAAAATAAATATAACTTATATTATACATTTTTCTTTCTTATGAATTTATAATGATGATCAGCATCGTGAAGTGAGTCTTATTTTTGAGAGCGCAAGTCAATAACAATATTTTATTTCAATATTATCAAATTAATTCATAGTTAAAAGACATATGAATGACTGTTTTGCAATTCAAAATTTATTCTTCATACAAAAAAAAGGCTGTACAAAAAATCTCTACATCTAATCAACAAACGAATAGATAGTTTATTAATGCATGCAATAGCGAATGACGAAAGCCAGTATCATTCTCTATGAAATAGTTTATCTATTTTTAATTTTCTTCGCCAAAAACAAAAAGAATGGATAAATATTAAATTGAGAGACATAATTAAAAAGTATTTTTATCGCAAGTAATCAAAATATTAGATACAAACAAATCGATTATCTTACAGTTTTTGTCTTGTGTTATGTATGGGTTGTTTGTATAAAATGATTTATGATTTAAATTAAATAGAGTATTTGTCCTCCGCTTTCTTTTTTTTTTCTATTTTTTCACAACACAATCAAAACACTTCCATTTAATAGAAAAAACAAAGCATAACATATTTTTTTTATACCTACACATTCACACATATGAGATTACATGTTCGAGGCTTAAGTATACATTCGCACCCTTTTCTTTCTTTTTTTTCCGTCTTTTTTTATAGATCGTCTGAATGCATTTAATTGCTTTGAGGCCTATTGTCACTTGATTCAGTTCCCGATTGATGATATCTTAAGTCTGATTCAGGGGAATCAGTAAACATAGGATTATAAAGTTTTCGTTTAGTATTTGAAGTTGTTTCACTTGAATACGCATCATTGTGATGTGGTGGATACGACGGTACATTCATATTTGCACCATGTGTAATAATAGATTCGATGACGGTTGAATTTTTATTGATTATTTGCTTCTGATGTTGACGACGATGACGTTGTGTTATTTCAGTCTTTGTTGATGACGTTGTTGTTCGGAAGTCACAACATTGTAATTCTTTACCATGTTTCCATCGATAGACTACTATGATTGTAGTCATTATTATTATAATAGACGCAATTATACTAAAAATAACACCAAGAGCTATTGCGATTGCACGACTTTTTGATTGATTTGAACTGTTCGACGTATCGGATAATTGTCCATATGAAAAAGATTTATATTGAAAATTAAATGAAACCGGTTCACAATAATTAGACGAACAATTTATAGATGATTTTGAACATGAATCATGAATTTGTTTATCAGTTAATTTATCTAATCGTTGTATTTGATTTTTGTCAAGACATTCTCCGAGTAATGCAATTGAATTTGTTTTTGCGATAGGAAGCCAACAAGACGAACAATTAATCGAAACGTGTTCTATTTTCAATGTGCGTAAACCAGTTAATTGAATAAATATACAACCATCAAGATCGAATAAATATGTACTTGATAAATCAAGATAATTCAATGATTTAAGATATTTAAATGAATCTTGAATGATACCTAAATTTTACAAATATATATAAATAGTACACTTATTCTGTCTTGAGTTTAAAATTATAGCTAGTATTTTTCCTAGTAAATTTTATTCAATGCAAATATTTAGCAAATCCATCGTACGACTATTCACAAATTCCCTGACAACTGTGTTTTTAGTTCAACGAAAATAAAAAAACAACATCTGCTCTATTGCTTTTATTTACATTTACTCTCTCAATATTGCATTGTTTGACTTGGGTTTTTTTGTTTAATGAGCAATAATTATTGTAGTTATTAGGCAAAAATTCTATGTTCATTTCGAATTTGTTTTTCTCTGCGACTCAGTCTATACGAAACGACAAGTTTCGTTCTAAATAGTTCACTTGACACTACTTGAAAATAAAAGAAATTTTCTTCTCTTATCTATGAAGAAATTCCAAAGAAATATGTTTTACACGTATCTTTTAGAAACGCTAACACTTCAAATTTTTAGAAAGAAAAGAAACGAATAAAAATATTTTGGCTACAATTATTTATGATTCACTGTTTACTAAATTTACTTACAAGTTAAATCTCGATTTGATGCCAATGATAACCATGTTAAATCATCAAGACCCATTAAGGCAAATTTTGGAATACTTGATAGTTTATTAAATGATAAATCAAGTTTTACTAATGATTTCAATTGCTGAATTTGACGAGGAAATATTTCGATTTGATTCCGTGATAAATTTAATATTCGTAAATAAGGTAAATCGAGATGATTAAGTTGTGTAAATGATTCAAGTTGATTGGATGCTAAATTTAAAATTTTTACTTGCCTTAGCTTTGAATTAAACCACTTTGAAGATAAAGTCGATAGCTGATTAATTTGTAAATCAAGTTCAATGAGAATATCACCAACGGAATCAAATGTTTTCTCGTGAATATTTGAAATTGAATTTGATTTTAATATTAAATGAGACATACGCAATAGTAGAAGACTTGACGAATCCAATGATACAAGATTACGTGATGAAAAATCAACTGTTTTCCATATTATCATTTTTGCACAATTCGAATCAAATGTTAGGTTTAATAAATACGACGAACAATTTAAAATCTTCTGAGTTGAAGAACAATGACATGCCTTTTTTTGACAATAGCTACATGATAATAACGCATCTTGACTTGTTAAACTTGACGATGTTGTAGATATTGATGAACTGATCATCATTTTAGTTAAAATACTTGGCATCGGAATTAGCATCAGTATAAAAACGAAATTTGTTCGATACATTCTTTTATTTATGTTAATGCCACGTTTGTCGAAGTCGATATTGATTAATAAAAATACTATTAATCGCATATAATGTTTATATAACAACTGATGAGTGAGAAAGAGCGGTGACAAAAGCAAGAGAAAAAAAAATAGAAGTTGAGTCAGTGTGTATTACAACTGAAGAACACCGGTCTATAGATGAGAACAGAAGAACAAGACTAAGAAGAAAAAAATGTAAAAAAAGAAAGAAAATTTGGTCAAAAGTTCACCGCCAATGGAAGAAAGAATAGGACTCAATATATACGTATATGTGTCGAAGGATAAAGTATTATTGAATCAAAATAAATTTCATTGAAATGAAACAATGCTATAGTCTAGTCGAATAGATCTCGAACAAATAGAACATGAATATAACCTATGATTTTGATTTCTACTGGTAATTAGGAGACATTATATGATTTGTTGTATTTCAATCAAAGCATGAACAACAGTTGAATTAATCAAATCACTTAATATACGAAAACGAAAATGAAAATAAGATTTTATGTGAAGAAGAATCGACGAAAACAATAATAGTTTTGTACATGATGTTCAATATTAAGAGAATCAGTCAATTGAATTGAACCATAAAGATATTCATTATTGACATTGTATTAATTGTAAATGGATGATACGTCTGTTGCATGTATGAATTACCGATCGATATATATTTACAACAGGCCACTATACTGTATTTTATTGTGTAGGCAACTATGGTGAAGTCAAGCACATCAAGTGCAACTTGACTAGTATATAAGATATTGAGCAGTAAAACTTTACTATTGAACTTGGTGTAATTAAAGCAAATATTGAGTTTCATAAGAAATAAAGTACAAGTATCAGTCATAATCAATCCATTTATTTTATATTGATGATAAGGCTCTTTAATAAACGTTAATTGCATCTATATGCAAAACAAATAAATGAATTAATCCTAACTCTTAATAATAAAAGTTTCAACATGAACTCAATGTGTTGAAAAAAAATATACATAGAATCTAACAAAAATTTGTAGTTTGACTATTATCCACGTATTAATTTGTTTATTAATATATTGCAACTTATCATCTAGGAAATTTCAGATGAATTAAAAGAAATTAATTCAAGAAAACGATATCAATCATTACGTTCAATATTGATATGTCTTTGAATAGTTAATTAATTACAAAATTTGAAAGATTGATTTGTTTTCCAGTAGATAGTGATCTGAATTATCAAGGAGAAGACGAAAGGTCACTGATAGAATGAATTCATGAGTATCAGTAGGATCATAGTTTTACTTGTTCTAATGAATGAAGTTCTAGACAGTCTTGATAAATTTCAAAAATAAGTAAATAGTAAAATATCATAAAATTATGTGATTATAAAATATTATACATCGATTTTACTTTCAATTGATATTATAATTATAATAAATGTGGAAACTTCGGATTTCATCCGAGAGTTATGTGTACTGCAAAAAGTGCATGGGACATATGAGCCATTCTAGAATGTCTGAACACCAAAATTATCATGAGAACCTGGGAATTTGATTTCGGGATGCAGTTTTTGTGCATTTTGAGACGTTTTCCAGGCGATGTANTAATATCAGATTCAGAATCAGCGTTAAAAAACTGAGTCGATTTATATATGTTGTCAATAATTCTGATAAAAATTTGTTTTTTGAAAAACAAATCTCTGTACCCCTCCTCAGGGATGGTCTGGCCAAAAATGACAATTTTTTCGATAACTCAACCATTTCTTGAGGGATTCTTCTCATCTACGAACTCGACCGAGATAGTCATGAGTTTGAACTGTGTGGAAAATTTCATCACGATCTGACTCTCCTTTCGAAAATTATCGTGCCTACAGCCGGACGGACACACTGACCGATTCTAAAGTGTACTCACTTTTTGAGTACACAAAAACATATTTGATCAGCGATAATAGAAAAAAAGCTTAGAAATACTATTAAATATAACTATTCAGAAGTGTCAATTTGTTTTGTACAATTCATTACAGAGAAGTATTATGCGAACGAGACATAACATGAGCATCAAATACAATTCACTGTGATTGCTCAACTGATGAAGTAAATAGACAGCGATGATATTTATTACAACGCAAGATTAACTAGACTAGAATTTATTTAGATAGTGTGTCAATAAACGTAGAATATATGTAGTTAAAATTTATTCAATTCGTTTTATTTCTTCTTATAATAAAAGATTGAAAATTTTTTTCTAGATATTTTTTCCATCGTTTTCTTCTATATCATTACGTCGCATACGTGCTTTTCAACGATGTGAGCATAATCAATATTAAAAACAGAGAATTAAAAGAAACACACGTACTTTCATCAAAAAAAAGAGAAAAAGTACGTAATCATCATTTAACGTATAGCGACATTTATTCATAAAATAGTAGCATTCTTTACAATTCGCATAGTAATATTATATAATACTAAAGGTAAGACTAATACAGGGAATAATTATGATCCGAAATTGAATCTGTCGAGAACAAGCAGTACTTTCTCAATGCAATCTAAGAGAATCAATAGATTATCGGGATGAAAATTTCATTGAATGAATGAATATGTTTACCAAAATAAAACACGAGACACAAGGATATCGGATGATTTCAATTAGATTATTTCTTAAATTTAATCTACACAGCATCCAATTGAAAGACATTCACTTCATGAAGTTTCATAATTTAAAAAACATCATCTTGACAAAATTACTCAGAAGCTATCCATGAAATTAACGTTTAGAAATTGAAGAATTCCGAATATCGGCTTGGAAACATATTTGAATTTAACTGACTAATATTTAAAATATATGGTAACTATATGTTCACCTGTCAACTTCATGCCTGAACTATTTTGCTACTGATTCTTATTTGATGATAAAGTAAATGCATGCTTAAATTCTTATCTCGTTTAATAACTACTGTTACTAGATTAGTCCGTGCAAAAAATTAGATCATACTCTTATAAGAATATGGGTAAACATGGTTGTAAAAGAAAAATAATGAGCTAATGCCATTTTTTGTTAGATAAATAGTTTCTCAAATATTCACATGAATAGTTCGAGTAACGAATGGATCTTATGTTTGTTATTTTACCGCTGATATAAACATAAACGAAATGTTCGATAGTTTGGCGTAGAATTGTATTCACCGATTATATTTGTTTTTATTAACATGATAATTTAATTACAATAAAAACGAATTTAAAACAATTTTTAAGATTTTCTGAAAACACAGATCTTGAATATAAAATAAAATATCTTCTGATGTTATTTAGTCTACGAGACCATGAGACAATGAACTATATTTTTCAATTTTACGTTTTTCAAGTTTAATAAAAATAGCATCAGGCTGAATAATAAGTCTTTCTTTACATTTAAATCCTTGTTCCAGTTTTTCTCCAGGCAAAATTCGACTTTGACGAAGTAATTGAATCAAGCAAATTTTTATTTCCATTAAAGCAAATTTCATTCCAACACAATTTCTCGGACCAACTCCAAATGGCATAGAAGCAATTAAACGACGATTTCGTTGATGTCGTTCAGGTATAAAAAGATTGGGATCTTCAGGTCCCCATAAATCTTGATTATAATGAATACTGAAAATATCCGGTTGAATAATACATCCTAGAATAATACAATTATATAGATTTTATTGAATAATTTCTCGAATTTTTCGACATAAACCCTTTTCAATAGTATGTCCACAGACAGTTGTTGTTATATTACATTCTCGAGTCATTGCTTTAGTTGTTATAGGAAACATTCGAAGAACTTCGCGTACAAAAATATCCAAGTACGAAAAATTCGTTTCAACATCATCTATAGAATCGTTATCAATGTCATCCGACAGGTTTTGATTAATTTCATTAAAAAGTTTTTCTTGAATATCTGGTTTTGTTGCCAACACATATGTACAATAAGCTAATGTAGTTGATACTGTTTCGTAACCAACAGCTACGAAAATAAATATATTACTTGCTATTTCATCTGAACTTAGTGCTTTTGATCTCAGCTGAGCAACAGTGTCATCCTAGATATAAAAAAAAGAAAAACAATAGATATTTGTAATATTAAAAAATGCTTTGTTAGTGAGGACAATATTATTCCACTTGAATAAAATTGAGTGTAAATGCTTTTATTTTCCCCTGATTATTATCGTTCTTCTCATAGAATCGTTAATGATTAGATCAATATTTTTTAGGACTGTAAGATTTTTTTGCGATCGATTTTATTTTAATCTTCAGTTTCGTAGAACTACACGATAGTAAGAAAAATACTTCATGAAACTATAATCAAGGAAATCTTTGACACTTTATGTTGATCACAATTTGTTTGTAGGCAAGTTTTGACTGCTAATCAGTCTTTAATAAGTAATTAGTATAAATTCTTACTGTGATTTCATCATCAATGAAAGTATCAATCATAAATTGTAAAAAGTCTGTAGATTTATTCGATTTCGATAATGATTTTTTTCGAAGATCAACAATTTCATAAATTCTATTAATTAAACAGACAACAGGAAATTCTCTAATATATTTTCTTAATGTCGGTATCAGCTCAGCTGTTCTTTTACGAACAGCCAGTAGACAAAACAGAAAATCATGTAAAGGATGTGCTAGAAATGGCATTAAATTACTCAATTGAAAAATTGGTATTTGATCCGTATTTGTTTCGCATAATTCTTCGAATTCCTTTAAATATGTAATGTTAAAAGTATTTTGACAATTAGAATTAATATCAAATGCACATCGACCTAAATATACCCCGAAGAATACTTGTATATTTCATGCTTAACAGGCAGATTTACTCACAAATAACATCCATAGTCATATGTTTATAAGAATCAAAAATATTAATTTCAACATTGCTGTTTCTTGTTCCAAAAGATAATTTTTTCAGCATTGTACTCAGGCAATCATTCATCAACGGCACCAGTGAATTAAGTTTAACAGTCGAAAACATTAAATTAATAATATCTCGTTGATAACGCCATCGTTTACCAGTTGCTCTAGATAAATGAATCTTTCCATCATTTTCCACACGCATTATTCTCGAAATAGGTCGTGAATGAAAAGATGAAAATTGTTTAATGTAAACTTGAAGAAAATCAGCATCGGATACAACATACATAGGTATTGTACCTTCGAATAAACCATAGATTGATCCATATTGACGAGTCCATTCTTGTAACTGTTTAGAATAAGTTTCGGTTGACCAAAACTCTTTATTATGACCATAGAAGAAACGGGGCAGTGGGCCCGGAATATTTCGACATTTGAAATAATCATAAAGGCGATTAATGGTCCACAAATAAAAAATAACTATGCAAGCGATGGTTACGATGAAAATACTCGTCAAAAGCATGCTTGAAAGTAAACTAGAAGAAATGTAAATGATGTTTTATTTTTATTTTTTCTATAATGATGAAAGTTTTTTCTTTGTGCATGACATGGCACCTTTTTTTATACAGAACAAACGTAATCGCACCATCTAAATTGATTTATACCGTTCTTCAGAAATGAAATGAATAATTTCTATAACATGCGTAGGTTAGGCACTTAAAAACAAATTATTATTAAAAATAGTAGTTACTACCTTTGAAGATTATTCTGTCTTTTTTCGATTGCAGTAGTTTCAGGCAACTGTATGGGAGATTTTTGTGAAGAACTTCTTGTTTCTATCATATCACTAGTTTAAATATGGCACTATCTATAGATCATTCCATGAAATTCATAGGTAATAAAGGCAAAGGAGGAAATTTCCAAGTTTAAATTGCAAGAAAATCCGAAGAATGAATCAATAAAATGGCGATTCAAAGCAAATCCTATTTTTGTTCTTCGTATAGCTGAACATTGTAGTTCATAATATTAAATTCTCCTAGTGATGAACTTGTCTATACAATGGCATTGTCTTATGTTTAACACTTACTTGACATTGAGACGGATGTAAAATGCTATCCTTTTACGATTGGACACAGCATCTAGTTGTGTAGCTCAAAAATGCATCTTTTCTATTATATCTCTATTCCGATTACTCGCCTGATAAAAAAAAGCATGTATGCAGTTCTTCAGTATCTTCGATCGAATTGGATTCTGCTAGACTCAGAATATGTCTGTTTGTTAAAAAGGATATAATCTTAGATAAATATCTTCTTTGTTGAATTTATTTTGGAGTTTTGGTTTTGTTTCTCGCACCTGTATAAGCTTCCTGTGTCCTATGTGATATACACAGAACCACAGATACAATCTGTCATAATAAGCATGAATATCGATGCTACTGAAATCTCTTCTTTATCAGGTCATGACATTTAACTATCATAATGTGATTAAACAGTATGCCCTGGTATATGAACTTCATGTTACTAGTTGGATCATATAAGAATTTTCAGCATTTGTCCTAACCAGAATATACAGCTGTACTGCTACTAACATTTTTTTAAGGTTTTGACATAGGTCATGTTCTCTAGCTACTTTTTGATTACGTCAATTAAGTAAATGAAACAAGAAACTTGACAGATCTTTTTGTTAAGTTCATATAGAAAACCTTGAAATAGTTGAAAGTGATTCATTGTTAATTAATATAGAGAAATTGGAGGCTGCTCCATTTTAAAATTAACTCTGACATGTACATGAATCATAAATAGTATGAACTAATTTTTTCTAAATTTACACGAGCGTGTTCCATCGTTCTATTTTGATAACGACAAATAAAATCAGCCGAAACTAAAATAATATGACCAATATGATTCCTAGATAGTTTGGTAAATGAATATTTTGATGTCATCAATGAGTTAATAATTTTTGTTTGAAATAATTTTTTCTTCGCTAGAAATACTTTAGCTATTCTAATTATTGAACTAAGTCAGATTATATGATGGCAAAGAATGAATATGAAAACCTATATCATCCAGATCGACGTATATATACTCTTTACACAACCATATACAGTTAAAATATGATCTTTTTTGGCAGATTAATCTAGTAATTTGTATCATCACTAAATGGAATGATTTTCGAGCAAAGAAATTAGATTTTTCCGATATTTTTCATCTTATGTTGCTACTTCTGAATCTAATCTCTTTCTCTTTTCTATTCTACGCTTTATTCAGTTACTTATCAGCATACATTTTGTGTCATTTTTTATATTCGGAGGTTTTTATTCTCATTATCGGCCTACATAGAATTAATCACGATTCTAATCTCAAATTGTTTGTCCTATCTTCCTACCCTCGAATTTAAATATATTCTCGCCTGCATTCATACTACAGAAACGATATTACTCAATATTCTTTGTTTCCTATATGTACTATTCATTAACAATTAAATTCTAGCAAACTTCTGATGCTTTGCATATTTAGATTCGCTATTTAGTACTCGTGTTACATGTTTATAGTTGGTGGTCTCAATCTATTGATTAATTACATAAATATTTTGTCTATTTCAGCAAATATCTAGCTTAGTATTAAAAGAGTAGAATATTATACTAACTACGACTGGTGACATGAGTTACTGTTGCAGTCATATGGTTGAAAAATCTAGGATACACGTCTACTCACATAAATCAAATACTAAACTGAAATATATTCACAATGAAGCACGCTATATACGAATAACGATTTCTATACAAATATCGAACGTTCTTTTCTGTTTTATTTTACTATCTCAATATCGTGTTAACCCATTTTCCGATACATATCATAAATTGAATATATAACGATCATATAGAATTACACACGATAATGTACATTGCATTATTAAAACACTAGATTGAGGCATACAGCGCCCTCACATGCTCTTGAAAAATCATACGCATTCTGAAATATTTTATGCTAAATAATCTAATACTTCCGTATTACATTTGCTTCTTGTACAAGCTTTTTCGTAATGGAACAAAAATGACATGTCACAAGAGCAACTTCTACAACTACTTTTAGTATTATGATACAATAGTGTCGAGACAATGAAGGAATTAATGCTACAGAGTGTTTTTACTTTGTTTTTCGAAAAAATGAAAGTGAAGCAATTACAGTAGTAGAACAAATTTACTTTTTTTCTTCTGCGAAAAAAATTACCAACCAGAGAATATTACACCTTTTTTCAGTAGCTTTTTCGGCGACAACAAGAGCGACACAGTTGTTTTTCATATCAACATAAGAGAAAAGCACGCACAATCACTGTGTAGCATTGAAAAACTCCATTCAACGTAGGTGTTGCAGAGAAAGAACACAATAAAAACAAAGCTACTTTGGTCACATTCTTACTTTGTTCGTCGTCGGAAGAAAGACAGAAGTGAGATGGCGGCACCTGGTAGAACACACGAAATTATAGCTAGTACAGCAAAATCTGCTGATAATACATTCGTACTTATTTGGTTGGATGATTCTGCTGAAGATGATCCAACTATAAAAGGTGTTCTTTCTTCTCTATTCGACAATGTAATTACTTTTACTGATCCTGAAGTATGTCTCGAATCAGTTGAATCAGATGAAATCGGAACAACCAGCTTATATATTCTTATTTCTGGTAAATATGGTCAAATGTTTGTGCGCGAACGTTTACAACCATTAAATCGAGTTCAATATATATACGTATTTTGTTATGATACCGTAAAACATAGTCAATGGGCAGAAACATGCGATAAGGTCCGATGTGTATTTTCGGATCTTAATAAAATCCTTCAATGTATGCAAAGTGACATTCAAAACAGTATAGAACAACAGCAAGAATCTGGAGAACATGATGAAATACAACTACCCACACAAGAGCAGCAACCACAGGCACAGGCACAACAACAGAACCTGCAGCAGCAACAGCAGCAAGGCGACATACAACAGCAACGAGAACGTTTTACAGATGATAATAATTTATTTGATCAACTTGCGCTTAATCTTGTAATTAATAGTCCAGATGATGGAGTTGAAGATTTTACTGATTATTGTCAAGTACATAATGAAAATAAGAATCCAGATCAGCATCAAGATCTTGCTGCAGATGACGAAGTTCCAGTTCCACTACAAGAACAATATTATATACCGGAAAAAGCTATCGAAGAATGGTATCAACCAAATTTACCGTTTACAAATATTAATTCCAATGATTTGATGAAATTATGGAAACTTCGTTGGTTTATACGATCATTTCATCGACAATTGACTAGTGAACATGAGAAATTTGTTCAAAATAAAACAAAATTTACTGTTAACTATGGAACATGGTTATCGGTAGATGAGCTTGATGCTATGAAACATCGTATTAGCGAAGTAATTATTATTACAGAACTATTGTTAACACATACGAATCGACAAGCAGCATTAGATTCTATAGAAAACGAAGAGAAAAATAAAAATAAAGTTATATTGGAAATTAATATCGATCCACATAATCGTACTACTGTGCCGTATGCTGAAATAAAAAAAGAACAAGTTCTATTATGGTTTGGAGCTCGATATCAAATAATTAAAGTTGAATATGTGGAACAACAAGACGAACAACAACGTCCATATTGGTTAATTGGTTTAAATTTAAATGCTAGATTTAATTCAAAACCTTCTATTCAAAATTTATATCAATATTATTTCAGAGAAATGACAGAATTAGATAATGTTCATCAAGCATTTGGTCGTATACTTATTCATAAGGGTTATTATGTTCAAGCCGAAAAATGGTTACAAACAGATAATCATTATGAAGAATTAGCTGAATTAGCAATACGTCAAGGTCATCTTGAACAAGCCAAAGAATATCTTGAGCATTTATCTGAAGATTCACATGAAGCTAATTTATTATATGCTTATTATTATGTTTTAACATCGAAAGATAATTTTCCGAAAGCACGTTTAATTTTCATGAAAATAATTTCTGAAGCAACAGATAGATATATACGTGCTCAAGCTAATATTGGTCTTGGCTTTATTAGTTTAATTATGACACAACAAATCGATCTTGCATTTGAATATTTTACTCTAGCTAATGAAGTTCTACGTAAAATTTTGCCAGATATTCATCCAAACATAGCTAAATCATATATTGGATTAGGTTACACATATTATCATCAACATAAAATAGTTGATGCAAAAAAATGTTTTCAAACAGCTTTTACTATTCAAAAACAATCATTATTATACAATCATCCAGAATTCGCTAAAACTCGAAGTGGTTTTGCTTATTGCTTTTCGAATGATAAACAAACAATTAAAAAAGCATTCAATGAATTTGAACATTCGCTGAATATTTTATTAGATACATTTCGATATGACATTCAACAGCATCCACAGATATTAGCAACAAGAAGTGATATTGAAAAATTGAAAAAAGGAAAAGAACTACGTCCACGTAATACATTACTTGACTATATTTAAATATTTCACGTGAATATTCAAAGTGTTTCTTCTAATTTTCTATGATATGCTACTCCGGTATTTCAGTAGTTAGCAAATGAAGGATCTTGAAACATCCGTCCATCATGTTAAATCTTCATTGAACCACTAAGAAAAAAGTTTACAAAAATATTACAAGCATCATAATTGCCTATACATTCTTTTGATTTAAATGGATATAAAGTAAGATTAAACGACACCGTGTCATAATTTTGAATTTCAATAGAAAATGAAAAATTCTACAAATTAGGCATGTATCAATCTATGAAAAGTCACTTCTATCAATAGTATTCCCTCAATTATTGATACCAAAAACATTTGTTCCCATGGGATTTCGATGAAATCAGAACATATGAAAATAAATTCTTTCACTTTGAAAAATACTTATATAATTCATTTAAATAACCTAACGTTTTCTACGCATACCGAGAATGTCGTTCTCGGAATACATGGTTTTCAAAAAAGAAAAGACATGCACCACCACAGATCAGAATAATTCAGTCTATTTAGAAATATAATATATTGATGAGAACTGGTTCGTTTCTATTTAAATTGTCGTGACTAACTAGAGTTATTAATTCAATCCAAAAGAAAAGTTTCTGATCGAAATGTTTTTTTGCTTCGAACTTTTGAAAATCTATCAGTAGACTAGAAGTGTATTCGGGTCTTAAACATCAAAAATGTTGACTTCAATTAATCCACTACAAATCTCTAATGAGCACGAATCTTTTAAACGGGTTGTTGATGCTACATAGATGCTCGATTTCATAACATGAAATCAAACGATATCTGATAGTTAAATATATTTCTGAACAAGTAAACATTAATGGAACGATATTCCGTGGTTTATGTTTGTTGAATTATAGCTACTTTTAGCGAGTCTTTGATATTGACATCATACAACAAGTTTTGTTCTTCAATTATTTTACATTATATTGAGTGAATTATTGATTTTCATAAATGAAAATAGATCGAGCTGCTAGTAAAGATTGGATTTGTCACAAATCTCTGCCTATAAGTTAAAGTATCTATGCCATCGGTTTCCTAATACTAATCAATATAAACCAACATAGAAAACATTTCAATTATGTCAGACTGATCTTGTCATCAGAGAGAATGTTTTTATTTTTATTAATCATTTTCGTTATAAATAGTCTATTATCTTGATGTCACAATACATTTTTACTAGTTTTCTATTCAAAACATGTCAATACATTCATGAATATTCATACGTGTAGTCGGTTCTGATAGGAATCATATGATTGTACGACAATTTATGAATGCTAAATAATAATAGCAAAACTATTACCATATGCATATCTGTCTGTATGCGCTTCATTAATTTCGATAGAATCAATACGTTCCGCTCTTTACAGTTTATATAAATAGTATGATTTCGTCCATATATATGTATTTGAATTCAATTGAAAATTTTCAACTTTTAAGCCAATAGCATTTTGAAGAATCGTGACCCACACATATATCGCTATGAGTTGAAAGTTGAAAGTTGAAATTTTCTATTTTCAACTGAATTCAAGTTTCAAGTTTGACACTACTGACAAGTTTAGTCCCGGGAAACAGAATAGGTAAGTTTCACACTAAAAGGTACTATGGCAAGGTACGTGGTAGGGAGTGCAATTACAAAGAAAGTTATTAATAGTAATATGGTAAGGCCCGTAATAAAAAGTACTATAAAAATAAGTGATAAAAGGTAATATGAAAGTGTTAGTATTCGNCTCAGGGATGGTCTAGTCAATAATGACAATTTTTTCGATAACTCAGCCATTTCTTGACGGACCCTTCTCATCTTCGAACTCGACTGAGATATTGATGAGATCATTCTGTGTACAAGATTTCAAGACAATTGGATGAGGCTTTCAAGAGTTATCGTGTTAACGGCCGGACACACTGACCGATTCTAGAATGTACTCACTTTTTGAGTACACAAAAGGCAACAACTATTCCTACTAAGGATTTCGTTTTTCTTCTGTATATATGTGTATTTATGTAAACATTCTATAAAGATCACAAAAAGAAATAATAAATCTAAAAACAAGCTAATTTACCATAAATAATTATCTATGTTTAGAAATATTATTTTGGCAACTATATGCAATGAGACGAAGCTATGTGCATATAGAAATATGTCCTAAGTAATAATCAATAGAATCCATGTGCCTACACATTTTCGAAAAATCAAAGCAATACTCCTATTTGAATCGTTGAATATTATAAGAATCTAATTTCCGTCTCTTTTTTTTTATACTGGAACAAATATGATTATTCCCATGTATCGGCATGTTTATCGATGTATTATAAAAAATCAAAAAACCTAAATGTTAAGGCCAATAAGAATAATTTTAAACTGAAAGCACATGTTTGTCATCATATCTAAAGATGTTACTTTAAAATAGAAGTCAAATAATAGATTAATCCTATTTTCTTCGTTTCATGTTGTTCTATAGTTGTCCTCGACATATATATTGACTTTGACTTGTCACAAATGTCATACTGGTAATCATTTGTTCTATAGATCTATGTAAATATCGAATTACAAAAAAAGGGACTATCTCTCGACATATATGTCTGTTGATTTTTAGTATATTTTGAAATAAAAATCCTATTTGATGAATGTGCAGATAGTAACGTCTTTTTTTTCAATGATAAATACAATATTCCGATTTATATATACGCATGTCTATAGTAGTATATGTAGCATAGTGACATCTTTCGTTTTTATATAATTTGTTCTGTATAATGAACTAATCAAAAATGTCCAGTGTGACCTAACCAAATTGAGTTCTTTGGTTTTATTAGTTTGTGGAGGCATCATGGTTGATTGTGTCGCCACTCGTTGTATTACCGTAGAGACATGCTTAGACTGATACGCGTGACGATTCGTGGTAGGAATTTTTTCTATCTTGTTTATCATTAAAAATAGAATAATTTACCATTATTTTTTGACATATTCTTGTTATTGACTCGTCATTTTCTGAAGTTTCAGCAGGCTTCAATAAATATACCTCGTATATTTGATATTATAGAATGATTCACTAATTGATCCGTACTTTTTTTCATTATAGATAATGTGATTTTCAAGATTCGTCTATTGTTGTCACTCTAGTATTTGATTACTGTAATATCTTGTTCTAAAATTTTATTAATTAGCAAAAAGAAAGTCATTATCTCTATTTGTCTAATAATGAACAATTAGCTCAAGAATAAAAAGAACATCATGGCCCGACAATCTCCATTCATGTCGCCGGCTCAATTTACCTATCCAAGTAGTTATCAGCAGGTGTGTTGAGAAGAAATTACTCTTTTAAATGAAAGACATAAAAAAATTAATGTTTTTGTTTAGCGTGATGCACGCTATGCTAATAATTCTACGGTTGATACAGCCATGGCATTAAATCGACGTCCATCATTACTTGCTAGTTATCATAATCATTTTGGTAGTCCAGAAAGGTTTGTTATTATTTTTTAATAGAAAATGAATCTTTTATTGCAAAACAATCTAATTTTACTTTTTTTTTAGAGCTGCAATACCTTCATATTATCCTTCGTTAGCACCTATGTCAATGGGACCACATGTTGATGAACATGCAAAACGATCACGTTATCCAACGGGTGGTAATCTATCAGTTAATTCACAGCTACTTCCACTGTCCATAGATGTTAAAAAGGTTTTGCATTGCTTTTTCAACAAGCTTATCAATTTCCTTTTTTTCTTCTAACATTTTAGGAACAACAAGTATATCAACCCCAAACTGAAGCTATATCACCCACACCAGACGATCCAAAAAATGATACAAATATGCGAGATTCAACAATTATACGTAATGCTATATCGAAACTCGAATCTGAAATTGAAATTACTATGAAAAAACTCGACCGAGCTAAACTTAGTCAAGTAATTAATATTTATAATTAAATAGATAAAGTTTATCTTAGTCATTTGTTCCTTTATTTCTAATAGAGTGAAATTAAAAGTCAAGCCGACAAATCAGCTGCAGACGAAGAAGACAACGAGAATGAAGATGATTTACTCAAAACAAATGGTTCACAAACATTAATTGAGAAAATTCTTCATGACAACAGGGTAAATTTTTTGTTATATTCAACTAGTTTCAGTTGATAAATTGAGTATGTATAAAATCTTGGACAGAAGCATAAGCTAGAGTTAAAAAAAAACAGTATGAAAATATTTTTATATCTTTAACACTAAACTATAGATTTGATTGTTCCCAACAGAATCTCTGTAATGTATATAGTAATGGTAATCAACTTAGAGATATATTTTCTAAGCTCAAGTAATTATAACTGAACGTCAAAGCGGATTGCAGGAAATCTAAGCATAAAATAGACAAAAATAGATTCTAAATTAAACTTCAAAGTTTCGTTATCGATGAAACTTGATCTGTTTTGTTTTTAATTTCAGACAACAAATATATAATTTTAAAAATTTATTTAGAAAAAAGCTGAAGATAGTCAAAAAATGTTGAATCATTTAAATAATAATATCGACTTAACAATTCCACTCTATCAAGAGCCAAGTGATCTTGCGTCAGTTCGACGAATTCGATCGCAGTATGTATTTTTCATATTTTCATTTTATTTATAAATAATATTTCCATCTAATTTAGTTATGTAAATATAATGAAAAATCGTTTAAAAGAATTTTTTAAAAAGAAAAATGATATTTATAATAATCGTATTAAAGTTGAAAGCAATAAATATGATGGAGTTTATCAAGAATGGCAAAAATCAATTGAAAATGAAGAAAAAATCATTTTAAATAAAGATTCAACAACATACCGGGAAACATTTGAAAAAACATTTCCTGAATTACGTAAAACACGTGAGGATAAAGAGAAAAAACAGACGAACACAAATGATTCTTCAACAACTGAACAGCAAATAACACTAAATACAAATACAGTCGAACAAGATGCTGAACATGAAGAAGAAAAAATGCGTAAATCATCCGTTGTACCACCTATTATCTATGATAAATGGCAACGTAAATATCAATATTTGAATGAAAATAGTTTAGTAAAACGTGATCCAGCTGAATTCTATAAAGAAGTTACAAAAATGCCGTATTGGTCACCGGAAGAAAAGCAAATTTTTATTGAGAAATTCACTCAATCACCTAAAAATTTTGGTTATATATCATCATTTTTGGAAAATAAAACAACAGAACAATGTGTTCAATTTTATTATATGACAAAGAAAACAGAAAATTATAAGAATTTATTACGAAAACAATCACAAGCTAATCGACGAAAAGTTAGACAAAATGCAACAACAACAACAGTTACATCGTCAACAACTATTGAAACAACTTTAGTTACGAAAGTGACTTCATCAAATGCTATTCTTTCATCCACATCCCAGCAAGTACTTGGACAAACAGCAGTAAGACACGTTTTTTGTTTTTGTAACAAAACACAGAAGAGGAAACTTTCTCTATCGTAGGATGGTGATCGTTCGGCAGATCGAGCAGACAAGTAAGTTAATTTTGTCCTATATATCAGGTTTTTTAGTTAAAATAGGAAAAATAGTTTCCACAAATATTTAATAGTATGATAAACTAGAAAGATTAGAGTATATAACCATGTTTTTTTTTTATCTAGAAGATACGATATCAGTTATCAACCGAATTGTTGTTTTTTTGCATGACATGCACTGAGACTTTCATATGTACTCTTCTCTTTAATATTTTCTTAATGAAGACGATTGGAAGATAAAGTTTATTACATTCATTAAGATTCAGGGAAAACAAACGAATCTATTCAATGGTTTTTACATAATCTGTATGTGATTTATTAGCAGACTTCACTTGATTTATTTCAATCAGCTAGATTTCAATGATATCATTCTTAGTTGAAATATGAGGATTTTACTATTTTCGAAGTTTTATGAAACTAACTTTGTAATGAGTCTCTTCAAATTTAGTTAGAAGAAATAGTTTATTACTTACCTAACGGACTTTTTCGGCTGGAAGAAATTCAAATTTCAATTCAAAATATAAATAAATTTTCGCTGAGAGCATCAGGTCGAAATTTTTTGTGAACATATTGTTCAAAGTAATTCATTCTATTTTTATTAATACTTCAACTCTAATCCGGCAAGATGGGAAAATACAATAGCTCGGATTTGTGATATATATATATTTAATGAGCTAGAAATATTTTATTGATTTAACTTTTCATTTCCTGATTAGATCTTTTCAAAAAAAGTTGACTACAATTCGTTAGAGACGAGAATTTTCTAAAGCGTAGACATCGTATTTAGATTAGAATAATTTCGAAATTGTTCAAAGAGCAACAAAAAATGCGTCTATCATAAGATATTCCCATTGCAATAAATGCAAGTATAACATGTGTTCTTTGATTTAATCTTTTCGAAATTGTAACTCAGAAAGAGCATATCCTAAATCCGAGTTCTTGAGCTAATTTTTCTGTTCAAAACAGATCTTTTATTTTTCGAATTCTTATTTTTTTTTCTAGTGATGAAGAACGACGTGAAATAAGTAAGTAAACTAGCAATTAATCAAATATCATTATTGAGCTTGTTTTGTTTCCAGATCTCGGTGATGGAAATGAAGATAAACGTTCAAATAAAAAGTTTGTAGATTTCACATTTTATTTTTAGTCTTTTATTTCTCATCTTACAATCGTATTTAGTCGTTGTCAATTATTATCTTGTACAACTGAAAAATTAGGTAAAAAGAAAAATCGTAAAAATCGTTTACGTGCATTTCCAAATAAGTGGAATGAATTAACACAAGAAAACCAAGAAGCTATTCGCCGTTCATTACGTAATATAAAAAAATAACAAATTTTTCATAAGAGAAAATAATGTTCTTCTTTTTTTTTCTTTTTATTAAGAAATCCCTCAAAATGTCCAACGATGTTGTACACGTTGCTATGACAAATTAATTATTCAAGTTCGACAAAATCAAACAACAGCGCAATCAATTGAAGAAGAAGATGATGATGATGAAGAATCATCTAAAATTCGGTCAAATATAACTGAAGAACAAGATTCTAAGCGTGATGATGGTAAGTATCAAGAAAAAATATGAGTGAATAAGGCTTCTTTGTTGTCCTTTACAGTGTGTCGGTTTCTCGTAATGATAATCAGGTTAGATACATGTCGGGATAGCATTTCGAAAGTTTATTTCATAAAAGCTCGCAGACGAGAATAAAAGCTTTAAACATTGCCACGGAAAAGAATATTATCAGGAGCTGACTCTAATTGGATTTCGAAATAAGAAACCAGAACTTTTCAAAGTGCAAAATAGAAATGCCATATTGTAGATTTCAATTTTTTTTCTGATTTTATTTTGCTTTAAATAGAATGGACAGAACATGAAATCAATGCATTTACAGAAGCATATCAGAAGTTTCCCAATGATTGGTTACATATAGCAGAATATATTCGTCGTAGTGAACAAAGTTGCAGAGCATTCTATCAAAAGTATCGTGAAAGATTTGGTATAGTCGATGATGAACAGGTAATATAAATTTGAAAAGTAATAAAAATGAAACAAATTTTTCGATTTTTATAGAATATTGAGGAAGATAATGGAAGTATATCAGGTTCAGAAGATACATCTCGTCGATTGATTACTTCTGTAAAATCAAGAGTAAATGAACGAATAGATGAAGGTAAAAGGAAAAATAACTTATTTATATATCTAATGTAATATATATATATATATATATATATGTATATCTTTATTAAAGACAATGACGATGATCCACAAAAATCAAATCTCAATGACGACAGCAATGAGTCGACTCGTGGTATGATCATTGATGAAAGTGATGAGCGTGCATCAAATATTGAAGAAAAAAATCAAAAAATTCAATCATCATCTGCTTTAACAACAATAACTTCTCTTGTTGAAAGAGAAATTTCAAAAACATTAAGTTCAGCAGATAAACGTTTATCAAATAATAGTATTCCATCGGAAAAAGTTTTATTAACATCACCATTGACAACTATTAATTCGAATGTTTCTACTCAAGCACTGCCACCATCACTACCACCGCCACTTGTTACATTACCTAATTCGCATTCACCATCAATTCCGTCTCATCCATTGCATAACCAACAAACATTTTCAAGCAAAGGTTCAATCATGCGTGGAACACCAATATCACCATCAAACAAATCATTATCGATTGATACATCAACAGCTCATTCTCATATGCATGCACAAAACTATCCAAGTCCAAGAAATGAATATCCTCATCATCAATCACCATATCTCGATGTACCACATATGAAATCTTCAAAAATCATGGACCAACAGCAACATTTATATTTACAGCAGCAACAACAACAGCAACAACAGCAGCAGCAGCAACAACAACAGCAACAACAGCAGCAGCAACAGCAACAACAACAAAATAATTATATGCGCCATTATTCTCATCAACAAGTAGCACATAATAATTATCCAACACCACCTTCAGCACAATACTTACAACCACATAAGTCATCAGCACTTATTAATCAACAACAACAACAACAACAATCATCAACAAATCTAAATAAACCTATCGGCATTGATACATCAAATACGGATACCTATGAAACCCTACGAGCTGATTTTGTTACATCAAGATATTTGACAACAGGACACTCACCTAATCATGAACGGTAAGATACGAACCATTTATTTCATTGATATCATGATTTAATATAACAACGAAATGTATATAGTTGACATTTTTTTATTATGAATACTTTAATATGTAATTGGTGTACTTTGTACGCATCAACATCAGGGAATTTCATTCAGTCGATTCGCTATTAAAAAAATGTTAACTGGCATAAAATGAAAACAAATATAAAAAACTCTAGACTATTTGCATTTTGTATTTGCAAATATTGTCAAAAGAAAAACTTAGTCTGTAATATATGTAGAGTATTTTTAATACTAAAACTATTTTTACACATGCTTAGATTGCAAACAAAAAATGAATATACGTATTTTCAGTTTTGGTTACTTCAGTGAAGACGAATACAGAAATTACAATATCTCGTATCAATAAATGAGAAGTTAAAAGAGTAATTCTATGAAAAAGAAATTCGATTGAGAAACTTCAAGATAATTTTAAAACGAATGATCTCTTTCTAAGTCGCGAATAAATTTCCGTTGCAATTCTTTGTTATCGAGGTAATGCTTTGGAAGTGTAATCTTGCAGAACATGTCATCACCAATATAGTTTGTGACATGGACACTGCTGTGATATTCTCTAGCGCCTTGATTCCAAGATCAGTTTGATATTCACTAATTACTATTTTATTCCAAAATAATTAACTAATTAATTTTCAATCGAGTGTCTTTCAGTAGAAAATATTTCTAAATATATTCACGACATAAAATTTCATTGAAAGAAAATTAATACACTAGGAGAAAAATCTAAAATACGTTAAAGATCATTATGACCTTATGAGTAATTTCATTAATAGATGTTGTCAGAAGGTAAATGTTGTCAGAAAAAAAAATTTCAGATAGTACTTAATCCTTAATAAAAATCTTTTCTAATATTAAATGAAGATTTTCTTATTTTAAAGCGATCAAAACAAGCATTTACTCTGACTAAAAACAAAAACAAATTCACATATAAATCTGTATTATATAATATGGTTTCTTGTCAAAAAAAAATTTCAAAGTGAGACTGAGTAACATTTTGTTCCAGAAAGCATAATGTACCCCAGAACCCTTCGAAAAATAAATGCCATCTTGAATTATAGGCATAACAACCGATGTATTGTGAAATCTTTCATTTAAAGGATTTCATGTCGAGACATAAAATATTTTTTCTTTCGTTTTATATTTCAGCCAATCTCGGCATCCATCTGAACAACGTTCTCCATCTCAGTCAGTAGCAGCAGTAAATAATCAACAATTGCTTCCACCACCAGCTGCAATAATACCTTCACCATCCAATGCTTCGATTTCATCATCAGCACATTCACAACAAGCTGCAATTTTAGCAGCATCCCAACTTCTTGCTTCATCTGGTGTACATCCACAAGAGTTACTTGCTAGTGGTCTTTTATCTTATCCACATTACTATCGTTCGTTACCCGGTGCTTCTTTTTATATTGATCCACATCTAATGCATGACTTAACTACAGTTGCAAATAGTGAACAATTAAAAAACATACGAACTAATCGTCATCTTTCTCATGCATCTGCACATTCACCACCGGATCTATCAGCATACTCAACTCAATCAACTAAACGACATTCACATGAAAATCTTGGTAAAAAAAAAGAAAAAGATAGAAACATAAACAATATTTCAATTCAATTCATTTAACTATTTAGAACACATGCGATATCCAACAGGCGATTATGCAACACCCATATGGCGCACACAAAATATAAATAGTTCTCAACAACAACACCAACAACAGATTCATTCTCAATTAAAATCTAATTCTGGAATAAATGAAGCTCCTTTTTCTAAGACGAATGATTTGCCACGATCAGCAACACGCATTACTTCTGCCACAGACAGAGATACACGGTAAGATAATTCAAATGAAATTCTACTCATTAAAATAAGACTCGCCAGCAGTAATAGACAAAGGCATGCATTTAATGTGATACCTAAAAAAATAGCAATCCATATCTAAATTATATCAATATTGCCTAACTTAATACAGCAGTATCTATTCTGGTGAAAGGATGCCTTTAAAAGATTTCTTTAATCTAATTTTGTAATTCAACATCTTTTAAATCAATTAAATAGCTGAACTAAAAAATGTTCTGTCTTTTAATTCAATATATTATCACTTTTAACAAATGACTATCAATGAATTTATCGACTTATCTAATTAATTTGAACGTAATCTATAATTGGTAAGCACTTATCAATTAATTGAAAGAGTATATATGAGCTGGGGCCGACGATAACTGATAAGAAAAAAGTTAGTTTAACAAATATCTTGGGTGGGATGTGGGTGTGAAGAGAGATAATAATACCCACACCCTCACACTCCGCACCCTCAAGATTTTTTACTATTACTTTAATAATTAATTGTATATAACTTTGTGTTGTTAGGTAGCATTACTTAATAAATTAGATATAAATTTATTTTAAAATTATATATAGATTGCTATATTTTTAGGTATTGGTTTATATTTAGTCCATAGACAAATATATATTTTTAGAAGAGGAAAAAAATATGGCTAGCAGCTTTTAACTTTCACTGAAAAAAAAACAGGAACAAGAAAAAGAGAACGAAAAAAAATAGAAGAAAGAATCAAACCATTTTTTTCCTTGTTTTTCTTCTCGTTCTGTAGTTGCATAGCAAATATATGTGATGCATTAGACAACTATGTCGCATTTGCGAAGACTCATCTAGCGCTCGATAAGTGAAAGAATAACAAGGTCACTGTAACCTTGTTTTTTTACCTGAACAATAATATTACTCTTCTTTTTTCTATACTTCATTTTGACTCAGTTGAATTTCCAAGAAAAACTTATTTTTCGTTTGTTTTTATTTTGGTTTGATCTAGATCTCCGGAAGACTTTCAACATCGCATTAATCAAACGCGTACAGCTGCTGAGAATCCGTCAGCTCCGTTTCAACGAATTGAAACCCACGGTCATCATGTACATGCCAACCCTATTTTTACTTAAAAAAAGAAAATTTTTTGCTATCTTTAGAAATCTTCATCTCATGAAAAATTAAATCCTAGTTTACATTTTTCTGATCAGTCGACCGATAGCAATCCATCGTCTTATTTAAGACAGCCTAATATCCTGCATAAACCTCATGCATCTCATCATCCTCATCACACATCTACTTCAACAAGCCGATCATCGTTAGTTCCAACGTCTCAAATATCTCCTCATCATGGATCACCTTATATGTTTCATAATATTCATTCTTCTCCAGTAAATACTTCATCTTCACAACAATTATCGCCTCATCATCATCATCATCAACAACAACATTATTCTCAACAACGAAGCTCTCATCATAACGAATCTATTCGAACTCCCAAAGAACCCATATCTATTCAAGAATTTATGAAACAAAATGTTAATGAATTTGTTGCATTAACAAGTAAGATCAATATTATTCACTAGAATCGTTTAGCAATCTCGTTTAATTTATTGTAAAATGAGCTTAACTTTTTTCATACATAAAAATCTCAATCGCACTTTTTCAATTATCATATTCAAGTAACCTTTATCACTGCATGCAACGCCTATGAAACATTATCTCGTTTAGATATTTTTTGTTAGCAATTCACTTAGTTTTTTCTTTCTTCTTTGACATGAAACTAAGTGCAAAATAGAAACATTTTCTTTATGACAAGGTCACCGGAGAAAAAATGATTTCCCGTTTTTTTCTTCCTGTCTAAATTCAAAACGTGTTATGCTAGAGATATTGTACATTCAGCTTCGAAAAATATCTCATAAGATATACAAGAAATTTACAGGTCAAAGTAAATTTATGTATTTGAATTTGGGTAAGACAGAAAAAAAGATTTGTCACGATCAGACTAAGCAGCAAAAACTTCTCAAGTGCTTATGCATTATTTTAATCGATAAAAAGTTTCTAATACATGAATAAATCGCATTTTCGTGTGCAGTCATTTTCTTTTTTATTCGAAATCTATTTTGATATTTAAATCAGTAAAAGTACAGAAATATTGGAGAGACATCTTTTCGACATGACGATGGAGTGTAAAACTTATTACATTCAAGGTAAAATTTATTGTACTGTTTTTATAAATTATTTACAGAGAAATCCGTAAGTTTATAGACGCCATGAAAACCTTTCATATTATGTTTCAGTAATGTCTATCAATGAAATCAAACAAAATTAATAATATTGACTTAAGCTAATTTAGAAATGTTTTTTTCTTCGTTTGATTAGTAACAATGATTTCAGCTAGTATTTTTTTTTAAATCTTCACGACACTGAAGATTTATAAGGAGATTGGATCATCATTGAATTTTCATTTCTGAATCCAACAATATTTTTATTTATTTAGATAACGATAATAAAACTCTAAATAGTGATTTATCTATATCAGAAAATTCTTCTAATCAATTATCACGTTTATTTCAACCAGCAACAATAGTCTCAACTAAACATGCCGATGTAAGTTAAATAGATATGTTTTTAATGTATACTAAAAGGTGTTCTTTTTTTCTCTCTAGAATTCCGACCAACCAATTTTACTCGACGGTGACGATGATTCTAATTCAAACGTATGTTTAAGCAAATAACAACGATTTTTTCAAAAACTCTTAACTGTTTCATTTTTTTAATCAGCGCGAACAAAACGAACCAATAACAGACGGAAATTCTAAAAGTCATTTAAATCCAGACTGTAAAATCAACCGTTGAAATTGTTTCATCGATATTCAAATATTTCTTTTTTATTTGTAGTAAATAAATCAACCATGGAAAATGAAATGCTTGAAAGACGTCGTGACAGTTCAATAAAGAAAATTCTTTCAAATCAACCTTTAGAAAAACAAGAATATGTTGGTAAGAAAAACAAATGGATCATTTTTTCAAAAGAATTCATTCGTTATATTTCTATTAGAAATCAACCAAAAAGTGCAAAATAGTACTGTTAGTGCATCCAAAGTTCATTCAAATACTGATTTAAATGGACTAGAACGAACAAATAGTGCCGGTGGGCGAGAATGTAGGATAAAACAAAATGAGGAAAAAACCCTCTAATTTGATTCTTTTTAAGCTACCCGATCACGAGGTTCGATCACTATGCGCATGTTAATGGGTGCCAATGGCATCTATGCTGATGGTAGAGCTCAACCAATGACAGCGACTGGTATTTGCCGTATTTTTTGTTGCTTCTCTGAAACCTTTATTTGAATTTAAATAGAAATTACGAATGAACAACCGAATAAACGTGCAGCATCACCACCCGACAAAAGTCAATCGTTAGAATACTTAATACGTGGTGAACTTGTTCGAGCATGTCCAGCATTACCGAAGAGTGATGGTAATAACATAAATAAACACTGCTATGTTTAAAATTGTTTGTTGTCTTTATTTTAGAATTATCAATGATATTTCAAAATCGTAATTCATCAAATCGTTTATCACCAACAACACAACAACGAATACAATCGAATCCACAACAACTGCAACAACAACAACCATCTAAACGAATGAGGTATATTTGCAATTAAAATTAAAATTCTGAAAATATGAATTCTGTCTTATTTAAAGAACATCACCAAAAGACGAATCAATGTCCAATAATGAGGAACATCTGGCATTAATTAGTCAAACATCCGATCCATCAGCAAACGCACGAGATCCATTTGCTTTGCAATCGCATTCGAAAAATTCTCATCATCAAACGAATTTATCATCATCTAATATTGACCGTAATTGGCAATCATACGTTCAATATCAACAATCGGTTACACCACGATCAGCACGTTCAAACATTACGAATTCAGGCGGTTCTATAACACAGGGTAGTCCAATATCACCACGAACACGTTCATCAACTGATCAACAACAATATCCATCAACAGCAAACAATCAACTTGTAAATCCACGTTATTCTTGCGTTAATAAAAGTAAAAGAAAATAAAAGAATTTTCATATCATATGGTTGTTCTGACATTTTCTATAGATGAACAACAATTTTCACCATCAAGACAATCATCGACATCTCCACTTGATCATTCACCAAAAGGAAAACTTGCTCGCAGAGCACAACAGGTAAAATTTCATTCTCAATTGAACAAACATTTAAAAACTTCAGATGAAATTACTTTTGAGTGGCATCCAATGAGTCTTCATGTACCATAGAAATTCTATTGAGATCGATGCGTGTCTAAAAATATTTTCAGTTTCACGATCTCATGTCAGTTAATGAACCGATTACACGCAAAAAGCTTTGAACTTAAACTGCTATTTTTTAGAAGAAAGTGAATAATTGAAATATTTATTATAGTACTATTCGGTCTGCAGTAAAATTCTGAAAATAAAATGATGTAACTGATAAGTTGAAAAAATGCAAACGAAGATATTTTATCTTTTCCCCTCATCGCTTATTTTATGATAATGCTCACAAATATTTTTTCATGAAATTTCGAAAAACATGAATAGAATTTGTTTGCATATTTGACATTTTATTTAATCATTGCTTAGATTGTATTATTTCACTGTTTTTTTTATTTTACATGTTACGTGTCCATGGTTAAGATTTCAAATTAAAAAGTTTCATATCAGAATAAAATTGTCTTGGAAAACATACGAACTAGCTTAACAGAGTAATTAGCTGTCTGTCAGAAGGATTGCTAAAATTCCATCATAGTAATTCTAAAAATGAAAAGTCAATAATATCTTTAGTCTACCCTATGTCATCTGTTATTGCCTTTGGCAACTCATTAAAAAAAACCTATCATGCAAGAAGAAAATCCCATCTAAATAAATTCTCTTGAAGCTGTTTTTTGCCATAAAAACAATTATATTTTAAGCTGAGGATCATCTCAAAGGAAATTTATAATGAAGGGAAATTTCCTAGATATCTCCAAATATATTTGTCATCGAGTATCTTCTACTTCATTTAATTCTAAAATCAATCTCATTTCTCTAACATCTTTCGAATAAAAAGCAGCAAATTTATCAATGTTTTATTTAGGCACTAGTCTCTCCATCCGATCCTCAACATGAATCACTATTAACAATAAATGTTGATCAATCATCGAATCACAGAAGCCCAAATACGAATCCATTATACACAAATACTAGTAGCAGTACTCCATCAATAGTTACATCGCCAATATCGTCTATATCACCCGCTTCATCGAATAGTGCACATCCACTTAAAAAGCGTTTAATTAGTGAATATGAGCTTGAACAACAACAACAACAGCACCAACAAAATTCACCAAGAATGGTATCACCTGGCGTGTCAACATTAACATCATCGCCAGTTCCAACAACGAAATTTGAAACAATAGACGAAGCAAACAGCAGTTCAACTTCAAATGTTTCCGAGCAAAATACTGAAGAAATTTCTAATACGGACACAAATAAAAATACACCAATAGATTCAACTGAATCATCGACATAAATATTTTATTTGAATTTCTGGTAATTCTGTTTATTTATTTTCAAAACAAAAAAATGTATCGCTCAATTAATTGTTAGTTGTCTATTGTTGTTGTTTTTGCTGGTTGAGTTTAGCACTGAAACAGTAATTAAAAATAAAACAACAATCTTAGATCATGCGTGTTTTTCCTCTATCTATGCGTCACTTTTACTCTTACTGTGTACATGACAACTATATCCAAGCACACGATGATGCGTGTTGGTTTGTAAATATTTCTATATATTAAATTTCTTATTCTCTTTTTTTTTCGTTCTCTATGTAAAGTATTCTAAAACAGCTTCTGTTTTTCTTTTTCGTCGTTGTTGATATATTGTCGAGTTAGTCTATTATTTGTCCTCATTTATTTGATTTTCTAGTAGCGCTGATATCCGCAGAATTGGAAAACGTATACATAAAGAAATTCTTTTCTTTCGTGTCTTTTTTTTTGTTATGATCTTTTCTTTCTTTTTCGTTTTGTTGGTTGTTGTTCTTGGAAACTTGAAAAAAAACAGATTCTCTTTTTCTTTCCTTCTGTACCGTTTGTCTATTCAACATTTAAATAAACAAAAGAAAATCTCGGTATTTTAATTGATTCTTATTGAAACGGATTTATGCTTTTAGATTGTACATATTAATCATGCCGGTTTGTGATGCATAGAAAGCATTTGTTTATTACGTTGTAAAATTAAAACTTTTTGAATTTCTCATTAGGAAAAGAAACAATCGGCAAGTAGTGGTAATGCAAATAATGTTAAAGTCGTGGTTCGATGTCGACCAATGAGTAATAAAGAATTGGATAATGATCACCAAGAAATTGTTTATGTAAATAATATACTTAACATTTGAATTGTCATTTATCTACTTCTACTACTCATTTAATGATCTTTTGCTAACATTTTCAAGAAAAATTACTGGACTTCAGATAATCCCAAAATAACATCATGCTATGGAGAGCACGTTATTCTATATTGATAGTGTGAATCTTTTTCGATAGGTTATTCAGTTTGTTTTGCTCCATGCAAAGTTTAAATTCTAATTCATAAAAAGCAGAATCAAGTTTTGAATATTACCTATACTTACCGTACAATTAAGAGGTTGTGGAGTATTTAACATAGTTCACAACTACTATAAAATATTTCCAGTAGTTTGATGAATTTTTAATATTGATACACTTATGACAAAACTTTCGAATTGAATATTATTATATTTCTAGCATCGACAGCAAATAAACGTTTAGCTAATTTTTGTTAGAATATCAAAAACTATTGTAAAAACATTTTGAATACAAAACAAATGCCACTAAAATGATTGGATTTTTACACTTAGACTGTATGTTTTTGACAAACATCAGTGATTATTGACGTTAAGTTCAGGTCAAACAAAAGAGTCTTGAGTAAAATTGGTATAGTTAATTGTCATACACTCACATTCTCTAGATAGATATCAGTCACGTTCATAATTATGCTTCAGGAAATGAAGGATGCATGCCAAGAAAAAATTTGTCGTATAAATAAAATGATGAATATGAATTTTTCTTTATAGGTCACTGAGACAACGGGCACTATTGATGTTCGACCACCACATAATGCAAATGATGATGGGGGTAAAACATTTACTTTTGATTATGTATTTGGACCAAATTCGAAACAAGTCGATATATATAATTTGGTTGCTCGACCAATTGTTGACGCTGTACTTGAAGGTTACAATGGAACAATATTCGCCTATGGACAAACCGGCACTGGTTAGCACTGCTTTCCATTTTCCTTTTACTACTAAATAAGTTTTTTTCATTTATTAAGGTAAAACATTTACGATGGAAGGAAAAAAAGATGATAATAAAAATTATGGTATAATTCCGAATTCGTTTGCGCATGTTTTTCTTGAAATTTCCAAAGCTTCGAATGATGTTGGGTAAATTGAAATAGAACATTAAATACTAATAAAATATAGGAACATCATTGACAAACATATAAATATTTATTAGATATTTGGTGAATGTATCATATCTTGAAATTTACAATGAAGAAATTCGTGATTTACTTGGCAAAGATCGTGATAAAAGTTTAGATGTAAATTAATCTATTTCATAAAAATCAACAGGAAAATAGTTACTGCTCAATAAATTTAGATAAAAGAACGACCAAACGTTGGTGTTTATGCTGATGGTTTATCAGCTCATGCATGTCATTCTGCAACAGAAATGGAATCTTTAATGCGTGGTGGTAGTTATAATCGTAAGTATTGTTTATTGTTGGATTTTCCAAATTTATTAAATTGTTTTTTCTTTATTTTAGGTCATACGGGTCAAACTCTTATGAATGAACGTAGTAGTCGATCTCATGCTATTTTTACAATTACAATTGAATGTAGTGATATTGGTCCCGATGGTGGAAAACGTATTCGAGTTGGTAAATTACATATGGTTGATTTAGCAGTATGTAGAACTTTTGTTTTGTAAAATACTTGCATGAATTTGATTATGATTATTTTTAGGGTAGTGAACGTCAATCAAAGTCGGGTGCTGAAGGAAATACATTAAAAGAAGCGACAAAAATTAATTTATCATTATCAACATTAGGCAATGTTATATCAGCATTAGTTGATGGAAAATCAACACATATACCATATCGAAATTCAAAATTAACTCGACTTTTACAAGATTCATTGGGTGGAAATTCAAAAACAGCTATGGTAAGTCGTTTCTCTGTAGTTTTATTTTACTTAAGAATCGCCGCATAGAAAAAAGATTTCAAAGATATAATAAAATTATTCATCGTTATTAATTCATGTATTTTTTTTAACATTTATTTTAATGTGCCATTAAATAGGTTCACATGTTAAAAATATAAGTATGAAGGATGAGCTTGTATTGTACAGTATAACAGTGATAGCACTTAATAATCATAATGAAATAAAAAGAGCGAAAGAAAGAATATTAATAGATGGAGTTTAATTTATACGAAAGGAGTACGGATAAAAGGAAGAAAAAACATTTGCATGCACGCTTCAACGATTAGTATAACATAGATAAAATATGAAAAAGATAAGAAGTAAATGAGGAAAAGAATAGTACACAATAGTAGTGACACCTGTGATTAATTCATGTAATCGTGTCTAGTCACAGACAAAAGATACTGCAATCTCTAGATACAAGTCTGACTACATTCCAAGAGTTTTAATACATGTTGACGGGTATTTCCTGAGAAATTGAATTTTCCAGTCTATGGCACAGCGACACTTCTCTATTTTTATTTTAATAAATAAGAAAGCAATATTGATTTGGTTCATCAAGCAAATGTGCATCATGTTAGTCTGCAGTTTTTCTTTCATATAAATTCTATTTATAGAATTCAATATCAAATCTACAAAAGAAAACTATTTTATTGATACTTCAAAGTAATTATTTATGATCACCAACGCCAGAAGTAAATCTAGATGAGTTTCTATTCTAATAATCAACTGGTAAATTAATGAGCTATTTATATGTAGTATCGAAGTGTTACAAGAAAATCATCAAAACATATTTCTTACACTCACTCAAACTAAACATATAAACAATATTATTCATTAGCAGCGTGTGTTTGTTGATCGCTATTGAAAAAGTAACCGTAGCGACTTTGTATCTACGAGAAGGAAAACTTTTATTATATGATGAACTGTTTTTCAAAATATAAAAAGGAATCGGTATTGAAGGTTTCTGTTTGGCATGCGTATGTTTATTCAAATGCTAACTGCATTCGTTGTTAGCGATCTGAACGAATAATAATATAGCAACGAAAAATCTTCTAACTGAATGAGAAATTCGAAAGTCAATTCTGACCGATACAAGTCTTTCCCAAGAATCGTATTCTGATTATGAAACAAAAAGCTCTCGCTTTTACGACAAAAGCAAATTTCTAAAAAAACCGTTTCGATGAATTGATTTTCTTGAACCTTATCTATTCGGCAGTTTTTGATAAAGAAGATTTTCGATTTAGATTGCGAACATCGGGCCAGCTGATTACAATTATGATGAAACCTTAAGTACACTCAGGTAAAAAAAAAGAGATTTATCACCGAACCTTTTTGATCTCATTATTAATTATTAGATATGCGAACCGAGCTAAAAATATTAAAAATCATGCACGCGTTAATGAAGATCCCAAAGATGCTATGATACGAAATTTGGAAAATGAAATTCAACTTTTACGTAAACAAGTTGAAGAAGGTTTGCTATTTTTTTTACCTATTTTCCAATCAAATTTTATCAATCCGTATACTTTCATTAGGTGGTGGTGGTGTTGATGATGAAGAAGGGTCGGGCTCTGATGTGAGTGACGTCGATGAAAATGGTCAACGTGTTGTACGTAAACGTCCATTACGAGTTCGTCTAGAACGTAAAGAAGAAATCGAACGTGAAATCGAAATCGAACGAAGAAAACTACAAGATGATACAGAAAAATCACAAAAAGAAAGAGATAAAATTGCTCGAGCACTTCTAGAAAAACAAGAGGAACTTCAAGCAATGTATAGAATTTTCGTTTGGTTCATGTTTTGCATAGTTTAAGTTTTATTTCTTTGGTTCCATAATAGGAAAGAACAAGATGATCTTCAACAAAAACTTCGACAATTAGAACGAAAATTAATTGTCGGTGGAGAAAATTTACTTGATAAAGCACAAAATCAAGCAAAATTATTAGAAGAAAGTGAACAAGAATTACAAACGCGTGTACAAAATGAAGAACAGTTACGACAGCAACTCCTACAAAAAGAAGTATAATATATATTTTTTTTTCAAAATAGAAATATGTCTATATCAGAATTGTCTTTTTTAGGCTGAAACACTTGATGTTCGAGGAAAATATGCAACATTAAAAGAAGAAGCAGAAGATTTAACGAGAAAATTAAAAATCTTCGGCAAAAAATATCAAGAAGCAAAACGAGAAGTGAGCAAGATTTATTCTCAAGAAATATTTCATCTGTGCAGCTTATTATTTTTCTTCTAGTTAGTGGATCTTGAGAGTGAAAATCTTCAACAACGCACAGAATTAATTGAAGCTAATACTCAAGCTTTTCGTGAATTACAAAAACAAGAATTTATTATTGGAAGCTATATACCCGATGAATATCTCGTAAGTTTTACTTTTCTTTTGAAATCATCGGTGCGAGCATAATCAATTGGCATTGACATTAATGAAATTTTACTCTCATTTAAACTCATATAAAATCTTTCGAAAGAAACAAAAATGTTTACTGATACAAATTCGGACATCTATTTTTCATTCGAGAAGCGAAAACATGTTGGTTAGTAGTTTAGAGAGAAATTTCTTTTGAATTCGAATACCATTATTTAACTTTTATTGACAAAACAAACACTACAAAAATTTTGCTCTCTGGATAACTAATTCCATCGTTGAACAACAGTATTTGAGGGTTTCAATAGAGTAGATTTTAAAATTTTGTTGCAAACATGTTCGACGGTAACGATTAACCACGCATCACAGATTTGTATGAATGTTAAAATGTTTGAATAAGTGCATTTACGATTCGTTCGGTTGCACATTATAAATAAATAAACAATATTTTTCTTTAGAAACTTATTCAACAGAATGCAGTATGGAATGAACAATTCGGAGAATGGAGTCTCAAATCTATCGCATATACTGGAAATAATATTAAAAATAAAGAAAAATTAAAACAAAATCAAGTATTCGATTTCAAACAATAAGGAAACAAAATAGCTTCATTTTTTTCCATTCCTAGAATGATGATTTGAATTTAACTCATGTCTATTTGGCATACACGGCTAAGGGTGCAGAAAAAGCCATGCGTGATTTCATGGAAAGAAAGAAAAAAACTCGAACTAAAGACAAGAAAAAGTATAAAATAAAATAAATCATTGATTGAAATAAACTTTCTTTTCTTTTAAATTAGAAAATCGGCAGCAAAAGAAACAAACGATGATCGCCCAGCGACAGCAGCACGAGATTAAATTTATAATTGCATACTTTTTCTTCTGTCTTTAATATTTCAATTAATCCGTCCATTTTGTTTTATTTTATAAAAATAATAAAATAATAATGATTTCTTTTTGATGTGTATAGTCATCTATTCAGTATTTTATGCATTCCAGATTACTTTTGATTAATGAGTTCGAATATAGTTGATATTGGTTCTACGCCAGGCAAATTTAAATACATTTTAGTTCAACAAGGAGAAAAATATATTATTCGTGGTGATCCAAATTTAGAATATCATGGTATCATTATTTTGGTTCGTTCGTCAGTTAATGTAACTTTCTTTTTAATAGATCAAATTTTTGCAAAATTACAGCAAGATATTGGAGATGAATCCACAAATGAACTAAAAGTTTTAGGCGGAGGAAAAGTTCTAGTTGACTTCAATAAAAAACAAATCAATGTATTCGGCGAGTCGCAAGTAATTATTTTATTAGAATAGAAAAAATACACGAGCCTTCAAAGTTCCGTTATACTTATTAGACTAGTATACTCTTATTTTGAATGAGATACGAAGGTTCCAATAGAGAAAAAAATGAAAGTACTATAAATGATTTGTTTGATTTTTCATTCGACATTCCGATGATACATTCCTCATCTCAATCATTTCAGTTGAGTGTCGGTGACTATTTCTGGCACTAAATTATTGGTTGATCCTTTCCTACTCGATTATCAAGAAACAAGACTACAGAAAAAGATCCTGTTCCACTCTCACTAATGAAATACGCATGGATACACCATATAATGATAATTATTTTTTTGCTTTTGTATATTTAGTCATATGGCGCTGCTGATCATGCTAAAGCAAAATCAATACTTCAAGAAAAATATACTGATTTTAATATTTCAACCAAGAAACCGGTCGATTAAAAAAGTCAATAAATGAGAATTTACAAAATTTTCTTTTCAATCCTTTTACAAGTATTTTTTTTATATTATGAATCTCATGAAAATATCTTTAATGATAATAAAAAGCAAGCTAGAATTGGTTATATAGTCAATTTGATTTTCTTTTTTTTAAGAGAATAAACTCTTTTTCTATGTGATAATTAGCTGCATAGACTCTTGTAAATATCGGAAATATTATTTGTACGATGATATGATTCATGAAAATATCACAAACTTCATGTTCTATTCGACATTGGTTATTGATAAGATTTGTACGTTGTTGCATGGAAATGAATAGATCTTTTCATAAAGCAAAGTCGTTAAGAGTCGCATGCTGGTTTATCTGAGATATTTATCAGTTTGACGCGCTGATTAAATGCTCGTAACATCTGGAAAAATGCTGCATGTACCAATATATGTTATTCAGTGATGCTTATAGATAGTATATGCCCTCGAAGCATAAACAGTCGTCGATTTTTAAATACTATATACATATTCAAAATAAATACATTCTTAAATAACTATGTAGTAGATTAAAATATACATAGCCAATTGTTGATATATGTATTTAAGTAATTTCTATGTCTTTCATTAAATTCTACAAAACGAAGAAACGACTTATTCTTTGCAAAACATGATCGATATTTGATTGTTAAACAATCGATTGTAGAGATAAATAATGTATACTAGATTATCATCATATTCATGAGGCGCTACTAATTGATCCATAACCCAATGTTATGATGCAGAGAATATATGACTATCTTACTTAGGCGAGCGGTGACAGCTGTCTCATTAACGAATGCCTTTTCCATAAAACAAAGGGTTTTCTTTTTATCGAAATAAAATGATTTACGGATATTTGGAAATGACCTTGTTGAATAGAACTCATCAGTTTTCAAAAAAAAACAAATATAAAGAACTTGAAATAAAAAAAAACAGTGTTATAAGATGATACCTATTGTCCCAATAGCCTCTATGCTATTTTCCTTTGTCTCTTTCTATTTGATTCGTCTTCAAAGTGTATATTAATATAGATTGATAATCTATATATACAGAAGAGATCAGAGAGAAGAGAAGTGTGAAGTTATCGAGTCGTCTCCGTGACAAGCCGAGCGACTAGGTCGTTCGTTATCGTTATCGTCGATTACCGTTTTCGTTTTTTGTTAGTTTCCTTATAAATAAACGAATACTTATTACAAAATCCTAACAAACAGAAAGAAACAATCTTTGTTTTTTTTTAAGATAATCATGAATAAAATACTTCCAATCGTTAATATTGGTACTAAATCAGGCAAATTCAAATATATTCTTGCTCAGCTTGGCCAAAAATATATAGTTCGTGGTGATCCAAAACTTGATTTTCATGGCAAGACACTGTTTGATATATAAATATGTGCTTTTATTTATTTGTTTTTCAGAAAAAATATTCAAACAGCTTCAAGATGAAGCTGGTGGACCAAAAAATGATTTGTATATCTTAGGTGGCGGAAAAATGCAAGTTGATTTCGAAAAGAAAAAAATTAATCTTTTTGATCAATCAGCAGTGAGAAAATAATTAAAAGCAATCGCTTGAAATCAATCAACTATTTTCATTCTATCTTTAGGTGTATGGTCCTGCTGATCATAGAAAATCCAAAACGATTCTTCAAGAAGAATATCCTGATTTTACCATAGTTCTTGGTCCAGTTGATCCAAATGTGAAAAAATAATTTGAAAAAAAAACAATCTCTTTCTAGATCTCAGTTTATTAAAATTGTTTTATGGTTGAAATTTAGCTTTATAAAAAAAATTTATAATCCTACCACAAAAAATTTACCTATTCGAGAATCTAAGCAAGAAATCATGTTGCAATAGCAATATGAGTCACATTGTTTCTTAGGAAATAAATAGCACTGTAATGTTCCATAGGTGTATAGTTAGTTTGCATAATCATTGTGAAATAACATCGCCATTACTCATACATCACTCGCCAAAAATATAAATCTTTTTTACTTTGTTAAATCTTGCATATTAATCGTGACATAAAATCAACATGGACGACATTGATGGTTTTACAATAGTCGATGAGCTAGGCTCATCAAACGAACAAACATATGAGATGATAGATGTAGATGATACTACTGAAAACGATACGAATACTAAGAAACCAATAACACCTAGTGCTATTGTACCTCCGGTTGTTTCAAAAACGTTAGCCGATCAAATCCCTGAAGTTGTTCAACAACACACACCGCATTTTGGTATCAAGTCACCAGAATCAAAATTGCCAGATTTGCCAATCAAAACAATTACTCCTATCACATTGCCAGTTGAAATTCAAAAAACAGTACCATTGGTAATTCCACCAGTACCACCTCTACCAAGACCTCCAGTTGCACAACGTTATGGTGATGCTGCTTTTATTCCTCATAGTTTAGATCAAATGAGAGATTTAGACGATATTATAAATACATCAAGAAATGATCACCAAAATACTTTGAATGCTAGTATTCGACAACAACAAAAACAACAACGAGCAATTCAAACAGTACTTGAACAACGTCAAAATTTATTCCAAAAAAAATAACTTCGGAATCCATAGATGAGAATGTCGACGAAAGGAAAATAATTGGATTGCTAATACAGATGTTAATTCTTTTCTGCCTATTTTTTCTCTTATCTTATATTTATTATGTACAATATTTGATCATTCTCTCACATCATTATTGTCTAAGATGCATTACGATTTTTCTTGTTGCTCGATATAGAACAACGACTTTCTTTCGGAATAAATCTATTAATATAAATATATATATGCATATATATGTGTGTGTGTGTGTGTGTGTGTCGTTTACTTCCTAATAAGAGAGAAATATGGGACAACAACACATCTGTTTGTATTTTCATTGCCTATTCTGTATAGGTTATCCATTGTATAAAGATGAAGAAAAAATCTGATCGATTCTTTTCCGTTTCTCTTCTTTTTCTCCCCCCCTATCTATAAAAAGAGGGAATATCTACAAATACGCTCTTTTCATCATAAAATACCATCCTTTTTTTTTCTTACTGCAATAATAGACATTTGAGGATAGTAAGTGCATTAAAGATCTCGTTTTTGTATAAATATATATATATATATATATATATTCATTCTCAGTGGCGACCGGCTCAGCTTTTAGCAATGTACTTAAAGCAAAAGAAGATTTACAAAAATCGCCCGAACAGTTAGAACAAGAAAAACGATCAATAATTGCACAACGTGTACCAGCATTAAATCTCGATGGCAATGGAAAAGAAGATCTTATTGAAAAAGTGCGAATAAAAAGCGTGATCTTTTCATAAGTTCTAAGTTTTTATTTTTTAAAGGCAAAACAATTTCATAATCTTCTTCAACAATTACATGGTGCTATTTATGAATTAACTGAACGATTTGAACGACAAAAATATGATGTTAGTAGTGATAAAAAAAATGCTTAGAATAATAAAACGATGTTTATTGTAGATGGTCGAATTAACTGAACGTGCTCGCCAAATAGAAAAAGGGTAATGAAATCATATATATATATATATATATATTATATTTATTCATTCATCATAAAATCTATTTTTAGCAAAGCTAAAACACGTAAATCAAATATTGTTCATACTGGTCTTGGAGGTGGCATGTGAGTATTGATCGATTATTCAAAATGAAAAATAACCTAGAGACTTTCTCTTCTGTCAATTTTAGTTTCGCTGGTGTCAATGACGTAACAGCAAAAGCACCCGTATGTTACTCAAATTCTACAATTACTTTTATTTATTTATTTATTTCTATTTTAATATAGGCAAAAGTATCACTTTTCAGTCGATACGAACGTTGTAAGTTATCGATTAAGTATTTCAAACAAAAACAAGTCTACGATAATGAATTTTATTTAGTAACTGATCGTCGTACATATAAAGATCGTCGTGATGTCTTTGCTGTACCGAAGCCATCAACCTATGTAGCTCATGAAAATGTTAAAGGTAAAATAAGTCTCAACGCACCTGCTGGACATTCATCACGAAAACCTAAACAAATTGCTAAAAAACACGAATCAGAAGAAAAACAAGAATCAGTAAAATAAATTTAAAAAATTATTTTATTTATTTATCTAACATTAATAATTGTATTTTATAGTCACCACCACCTGCTGAAGAAGAGCCAGCAGAAGAACCAGCAGCAGAAGAACCCGCACCCGAAGAACCTGAAGCTGAAGGATCAGCTGCTGAAGAAGAAGCTCCAGCCGCAGAGGAAGAAGAAGAATGAACAATAGACTAAATCGATATCATACCCTTTTACATTAGATGACCTTTTCATCTTTTACCTTGAAATAAATTTTTATTCGAATTTTATATTAACAAAAACGTATTTAAGAACAAGCAGAAGTGTCTTTAATTATGAATTTATTCATCTTCTTCACCTGAATCATCTTCATCATAAACTTTTTCATTTTCAAATGTGTCATTTTTCGTTTCAATTATTGATAACCGTTTTATAGCTGAAGGTTTAGATGTCGGTTTCTTCCAACCTTTTCGCCATACTTCTGATAGAATAAATAAAACATGATAAGAACCTATCGAACATATTGACACAATGTAAAAAATTTTCATTGGTAAACTCCAAAAATTGCGTAAGATATTTATTCCAATTTGAATTTGTCTACAAATGCGATGACTATAATCGTTGTCACTTTCATCAAATGAAAATAGAATACATAGTTGAATTGTTGATGATTGATTTATATTAAGAAAAAATTGTGTCGTATTTAATTGAATCATTGATTCGAACGATTCATCTGACGCATTGTAAGAGCCAATAGCAAGAATTTCTAAAGGTATTATTTTATACGAAGCTGTTAGATTTTCAACGTTACATGTGAAGTTATAATTAGCAACTAATTCAATAGGAAATTTAGTTTCAATTTTATTTAATTTGTAATATCTTTGAACTTGAAATAGTAAGGAGCAGTTGGATTTAGTTGATGATAAATTACCACCAGTAACGAATGAAAATTGTATAAACAATAATAATAAAAATAGCAATAAGAGACGCATGTATTCAAGGTTTGCAAACGATAGAAATGATCACTATTGTTGGGTTATTTTTGCTTCGACCGAATATATTGTTAAATCAAAGAACGAAGGATTATTGAGTACAGAGCAATGATGTGAGTTGTCTCAAAATGAAATAGTTCCTGAATCAATTAGCAAATGTAGTAATAGAATTATTTCTTTAAAATATTAATTGAATAATTCCATTGATAAAAGCAAAATTTTAACTTGAATCAAAAATCATTAAAAAAAGTGTCTAACATTAATTTTTATTAAAAATAAAGTACTCTCAAGTACTATATTGCATATGATGAAATCGATTGAAACAAACAATCACCATCCATCAACATAGAATACAAATAACAATGCCTGTGTATGAATTGATGGAAATGAATTTTTTCCTGTGCAATTAATCCCTGTCTAATATGAATGTAATCAAAAGTTTTGATCGATTTACCGAAATTTACCGATATTATTGATGGCATATCTATTGTTTGTTGTTGGCAAAAATACTCAATAGGAAAAGCAATTAATATTTTCACAGATTTTGCTAGTCATCGTACATTTAATCATGAGCGGGTCAATGTATTTGTTTTTCATAGCATCTTGATTTGCGTCGCAAATCATATTATTCCTTCATCTATTTAAATATAATAGTAAATAAAAAGGTGATGATTAATATTAGTATACTATTTTTAGTGAATGATTGAATAATGTCTATTTTCGATAGCAAGTTGAAACAGTAAATTAGATATTTTTGTTTTAGAAGATCGATATCAATACTGTGTATACTCACAATCAGTGATGATAGAAAATTTCAGTTGTCATTCACAAAAAAAAGCTTTTATTTATATAGATGTTATCAAGAACATTCATAAACATTAAATACTCAATCATCAATGGTGTACGATAAAATATCATTGTTCGATCAGTTTAACTATTTTGTCTTTCGAGATGTTGACAGATTGACCTGTTCTATTGCAATCTACTTAACTTGTAGCTTTTTTGCTGGTTAAAATTGTAGTTGTTCATAAGTTGTTTTTGTTATTGTGTATATAACTCGCTTCTCAATTCGTCTAAAAAATCTTCCCTGTCATCTTTTTTAGTTTATCACTGTTCCAAAGGTAAAATATTCGAGAAATCGAAAATAAAACGTGCTATGAGCATATTTGTCTCTCACTGTGAAATCATTATTTGATGTTTCATTAGAATTTCTTTATTACACTGATTAAAAATTTGTCGCTATTGCATATAAAAAATCAAATGACAATTAATCCAATAGACACCGACAGACAAACGATTTATATTGTTTAAAGAACAAATTGATAGTGAAAGCATCGAACAGCTGCCTATCATCAAATTATATTAGTTATTTTTCTAATATCCATTTCAAAAGAAGTGTTTCTTCTCACATTCATAATATTCTGTTAGCTTCAACATACAATCTGTAGCTATACAACAACAAGAAGAATTTCATTTAGAATAATGGTTGGGGAGGAAGCAAAGATTAAACTGTAAAGATAACAAAAATAGAAAAATCAATTTCATAGTGTAAATCTCTACATTAGGATGCACACTGATTCTTGAAGAAATGTTATCGTATGTTTGATATAGTAGTAAACTACTGAGTCATCTATGATGTCTCGTCTCGTTTGAAATTTTGGGCTTTTTGTAGTCATGTAGGTAAATTCTAATAGATTATAATGACTAGGTTCATGTTTTTCTTAGTGTTAGCAGGATTTCTCACAAAACCAGATACGCATTATAGAAAGTATACAATGAATCCGATTGGCAAAAATATATATGATACAAAAACAAATGTCGGATTTATGTTAAACTAAATGCAAGTTAACCCATCAGATTTAGATATTATGAGAAAAAGAAGCGCACCAATGATTTCCATTGTAAAAATGGCATATTAAATAAGTTTGACATTTCTGTAAACCATGATTACATTAGTCAATTGACAAATATGTTTATTTTTTTTATATCTATAGGTCAAAATGTTGTTTCACTGTACAGATAATCACAGGAAAAGAAATAGTTTTGAACAAAGATCATGCAATTTTATAATTAAGAAAATCTGTTAACATTTGAAAGTCGTTAGATTTACATGAACATCAAGCATTTCTATGCAAAAATCTCCTATAACTTCCTAATCAAACTTTACTTGCAAAACAGAAAAATCTAATTTCACCGAATCCAATAGGGTAGTATAGGTTGTTAGCAATATTTGAAAATAAAATTTATAGAAAATAGCCTTTAGAAAGTATTATGGTAGAACGTTTGAGATTCGACCAACATCTTAAAGAAAACATTTACCTGATTTCAATTTTCACACTGTAGTATTTTTCTGCGAAATAGTGATATCCATTGAATTCAGATAGAAAAATTCCTTTTGTTGCCGATCAATTAGATTGTAAAAAGTCGAGTTTTGATATTATCTTGCTGTTGACAATATTTTCACAGAATGAACCACTGTAAAAAAAATATGTTTTCAATATTATCCATAGCTATGTTTACTCTTATTGATACTTAAAAGATAGCCAAGTGAAATCATTCGCTTAACTTATTGACCTTTTATTTAATCTCATGATATTCTGAGAGTAATATAAAATAATTTTCGATTACCAACGGATAACTTTGAAATGTGAAAAAGAAATCAAAGTTGTTATATATTAAATCATTTATTAGTCAGCTTCATCAATTAATGATACGTTCATTAACAACATATTTTCCACCGATCTTGCGACAGCGTCTGACCCATAAAGAAAAAAGCCAGAGACAAGTTGGTATAAGAACAAGAATACCGACAAATATTATGATCAGTAAAATAAATGCATCAATACAGATTGGTTGCACACCACCAAATGGATTTATTGTAAATTCTCCTTCCGAACATGGACCATAGTTTTTACCAAAAAAACTCCAACAAGGAGAACATTTTCTACATGTAGCCGTGGATGATTCTTAACATATAGTAAAGACATTTATTTGTTGTGATTAAGGAATCGAAAACGACTTACCGGTGGTATTGGCATTACTGTAGCATACAGAGATCAATATGATGAATATAACGTTCAGTAATGTACGTTGCATCTTTGCTATCTGTTAAGAATATTATGTGTATGCGTTTGTGTGAAGACACTGTCTTTATCAGAACAGCATGCTGATGGATATGCGTGTAACAATGCTAAGCATTTGGTTTTGTTCGATATCATAGAATTGACTAAATATTATTCAAAATGATAAAATTATTACAGTATATCAAGGAGAATGAAAAACATATTTCAAGTATATCTATGTAAATTAGTTATATTTTTCAAAATTTCTTTGAAAACTTGAAATAGACAATACAAGATGTATAGAAATACGAATAAAATATCCTATCAACAGTTAGGGACATCTACCGATAAATAAATGTATAGATTGAAGTAAAAAGAAGGTGATGATATTCTATGGAAAATGTATTATAGAAAGGGAAACTTGTTGATCATGATTATGATTGATTTTAGCGTGAATATTTGAAAAATTGTAACTTTTTGAAACTTTTAATGATATTGTTTTTGATTTCAAAATGTAGATAATTTTGGATGGCGTTGTTACGTTATTCTCTATCTTTATCTCGGCTGACATTACCATCGATTGTTTCGAGTCGAGGAGCTGCAACAGCTCCAGCTACTGCTTCATCGCCCGTTGTTGGACAGGCGACAGATTCACCGATTCAAAAGGTACAAGAAAAAGATGCATTAACAAATGTATCACCATATAAAAATGCACCAAGTAAATTCTATGGTGAAAGTAACGTTGAAGTAGCATTAGCTCGTTTGGATGATGTACAAAATTTAATACGACGTGGTTCTATTTGGCCACTTACATTTGGTCTTGCCTGTTGTGCTGTTGAAATGATGCAAATGGCTGCTCCACGGTATATATACATAAATTATATCCATTTAAAATTATGCATATACGATTTTCTATATTTTTCTTTCAATTTAAGTTATGATATGGATCGATTTGGTGTTGTCTTTCGTGCTAGTCCTCGCCAATGTGATCTAATGATTGTTGCAGGTACACTTACCAATAAAATGGCTCCAGGTAAGAAGAATTTTCTCAAATTGTTGCTATTGATTCGGCAAATAAGCATGTTTTTAATCTTTTCTCCTCCAGCTATTCGACGACTTTATGAGCAAATGCCTCATCCTAAATGGGTTATTTCAATGGGCTCATGTGCTAACGGTGGTGGCTATTATCATTATTCATATGCAGTAGTACGTGAATCATTATAATTTTTGGTATTAATTTAAACTAATAAATATTCTTTTCTTCAATAGGTACGTGGATGTGACCGTATTATTCCAGTTGATATTTATGTTCCTGGTTGTCCACCAAGTGCCGAAGCATTACTCTATGGTGTTTTACAATTACAAAGAAAAATCAAACGCTATGATACATTACAAAAATGGTATCGAAAATAAAACGAATCTATCAACCCAAAAAAATATGATTAGATTGATCTTGGTTTCCCATTTCATTTGTATTTCACGTTTTTTTTGTTAGTTTCATTTCCAATTACCTTTATTTTCTTTTTTTTTCTCTTTGTGAAGAACGAGTGTAAATAGAATCATATATCTTCGATTTTTTAATCTTACGTAATTACCGCAACAATCATAGTTAACATGTCATGATTTCGTAAGTCCAAAATGGATCATTTTTATTTAGAAGAAAAACAACATAGAATCCGATCATACTGCCACCTACCATGACTTATTCGCCAGAGACACTTTGCCAGTTACAAGAAAATACAGAATCTATTCGTAACATATGTATATTGGCTCATGTTGATCATGGTAAAACAACATTAGCTGATGATTTACTTGCTGCAAACGGAATTATTTCTAATCGTTTGGCTGGAAAAGTGAGTGAAACTAACTACCACCACGGTCAAGAAATCGATGATAATGTTTTCTTTTTTGATAAATATATAGCTACGTTTAATGGATAGTCTAGAAGCAGAGCAAATTCGTGGTATCACCATGAAATCGAGCGCTGTTTCACTTGTTCATAAAAAAGGTTGTTTATTATATGATTGATGGATTTGAAACGAAAATAAACTTTTAATGTATTTAGATGAAAAACAATATTTAATTAATCTTATTGATACGCCGGGACATGTTGATTTTTCATCAGAAGTTTCTACAGCAGTCCGTCTTTGTGATGGTGCAATTATTTTAATCGATGCTGTTGAAGGAGTTTGTCCACAGGTATAAGAAAATTGCTCTGAAAAATAAAGTTGATCAACTCAAATAAACAACTTTACTTTCGCAGAAGAAATATTTCTCTAATAAATTACGGTGGCATCATTTTAAAGAACAATTCGATTCCATAGGCTTTCTATCATATATGAAAATAAATAGTTGATAGTTTAGAAAATCTTCTTTTTAATTGTATAGACTTTAGCAGCTCTTCGACAAGCATGGCTCGAACATTTACGTATTATTCTTGTTCTTAACAAAATCGATCGTTTAATAGTTGAACTTAAAATGAGTCCGTTGGAAGCTTATTTTCATATTCGTACTATTCTTGAACATCTAAATGCAGTTGTCGCAGAACAATACACATCATTATTATTAGAAAAATGTGTATGTAATCGTAATAGGTATTTTTTCTTAAGTTTATTTTTAATGATGTTTTTCTTTTTTCTAGACTGATCAAGTAGTTGTAGGAGAGGTTAATATTCGAGACTGTCAATTGAATACAGTTATCATATGTTTAACGTATATTTAGATAAAAAGTGAAAGTGGAATCAATGATGACGACGAGGAAGATGATTGGACACGAAATGAATCGCGAATGTGTTTTTCACCACATTATAACAATGTTCTATTTGCTAGTGCACTAGATGGCTGGGGATTTGGGTATATTCATGATATTGTTAGTTTAATGTAAACATTTTGTATGTATTTGTATTCTTTTTCTCTCGTAGAATTCATCATTTTGCAGATTTATATGCTAAAAAACTATCGATTAAACGAGAAGTACTAATGAAAACATTATGGGGGGATTTTTATTTTGACAAAAAAACTAAACGTATCTATAAAGGTGCACAAGTAAGATAAATACTTCTAATTGAACAGGAAACACCTATTATTCTTTTCATTTCAAGAGTAAAGGTCAAAAACCAATGTTTGTTCAATGTATTCTGGAAAATCTGTGGAGCGTTTATGAGACAATCATAATTCGACGGTTTCTATCATAACTAATACTTTTTTTTAATGAAAGTAAAATTATTATTATTATTTTTCTTTTTTCTTTAGAGATAATGAAAAACTTGAAAAAATTGCTGCATCAATTGGTGCTAAATTAACTCCGCGAGATATTCGACATACTGATCCATATGTTCCGTTGCATCTACTTTTCAATCAATGGCTACCGATTGCTTCAGCTGTATTCGGTTTGTTTTGATATTCTACTGAACATAGTCGTTTTATTTTGTTTTTGAAATAGACATGGTTGTTGTTCAACTTCCACATCCGAAAGCATTAAGTATAGAAAAAATTGAACAATTAATGTGTAATAAAAGTCGCCGATTTGATACACTATTGCCAGAAACACAACAGTTAAAACAAGGTAAATCTTATCACTTACTTTTTTTTTTTACATATGCCATACTTGATATTGATAACTTTTCCTTTAAAGCATTTCTTAATTGTTCAAGCGATGATCAAGAACCAGTCATCACCTATGTTTCAAAATTATTTTCTGTACATAAAAGTGCTCTATCACAAAATAAACAAAAGTAAGAGAAACCTGTTTTTTTTGTTAGTTTGTTTTCATAAATCACGTTGTTTTCGTTTCTGTAGACCGTTGACTGCAGAAGATATAACACAAAGGCGTGAACTTCTTAAAAAGAAACAACAAGAAACAATACCAGTATCTAGTGAAGAATCTGCTAATAGAACTGAGGAAACTAATCCAACGACTACAGTTCAGTCAGAACCAAACGAAAACGTTGATGAACATGTGTTTCTTGCTTTTGCACGTGTTTATAGTGGCCGATTAAAACGAGGACAAAAGATTTTTGTTTTGAGCCCTCGTCATGATCCAGTGTTATTTGTTGGAAAGGTAGGTAGTATCAACGATTTTTACTTAGCTCGTATTTTCTTATGAAAAGTTTAAATTGAAAAATAGCGTAGCTAGTTATTATCAAAATCTCTTATTTTACTTATGTAGGACCTTAGTCAAGTTCCTGTTCGAAATATTTCACAGAATGTGCATGAATTTGTTGTTCAAGATCTATATTTAATGATGGGTCGTGAGTTCACTCAACTCGATCAAGTACCTGCTGGCAGTATAGTTGGTATGTTTATTTCTAATTTCCTATTCATTTCCTATCGAATCTCTATCGGTTTTTTTTATTGTAGCTATTGCAAAATTAGATTCTCTTGTTTTAAAATCAGCAACTTTATCAACAAATATATTTTGTCCATCATTTACTGGTCTTCATTTTGAGGCTTCACCTATTGTTCGTGTAGCCATCGAACCAAAAAATCCCGGTAGGATACATGTTTTTCTTTTAAGACTGCTTTACGTATAAAATACAATTCAATTTTTTTAAGGTCAAATGAAACAACTTCGACATGGAATGTGTTTATTGAATCAAGCTGATCCATTAGTGGAATGTACATTGAAAGATACTGGTGAATATATTCTTTCAACAGCTGGTGAAGTGCATTTACAACGATGTATCGATGATCTTACTAAAATGTATAAATAACTTTTTGTCATTAGAAAATAAAAGTTATCAAATTAAATTTATATTTATTTTTTTTAGCTATGCTCGTATTGAAATAAATGTTTCAGCCCCGATTATTCCGTTTCGCGAGACAATTATTCCTCCGCCGAAATTTGATGTTCTCAATGAAGCATTAGCAAATCAACAGCAACAATTCAAATCTAATAAAACGACAAAAGAAAGACCATTGTGGCTATTAGGTATTTTTCCTGCAAAACAAAATCAACATGAGATCAATATTTCTTATTTTTAAAATTTTTTAGAGGATGGACTCGTTGAACTAAGTACTCAAAATCATCAATGTACATTTCAAATTCGAGCAGTACCATTACCTGATTCAGTCACTCGTTTACTTGATGAAAATCCATCACTACTTGCAATTATTGAACAAGCTCAAGGACGTGACGATAGAAAAGGTACCGTTGAATTAAACGATCAAACGCTAGATGAAATACGACAACTAAGAACACGATTAAATGAAGAATTTGTTGCTTCCAATGGGCACATGTGGAATTCAAATACAGTTGATGAAATATGGTCATTTGCTCCACATAAATGTGGCCCGAATATTTTACTTAACCGTATTCCGAATAGTATTTATAGACAACGGAGTGCATCTATCTGGACTATTGCGTTAAATAATCAAATGAAAACAAATAGAGATACATCATCATCATCAACCAAAGATGATTATGATATAAGTATTATTAATGGATTTCAATTAGCAACAGCTAAAGGATCCCTATGTAAGGAACCTTTAATGGGCGTTGCATTCATAATGGAACGTTGGGAAATAAATACAATTGCTAATGATGAAAATAATGATGTACAACAAGAATCGTCAGAAGCTAACAACTCCGAGGTTACAACAATAGCAACGGCAACAGTAAATGCCATTGATGAACTCGAAAGTTTAGTAGAAACTTTGAGTATTACAAGTGATGATTCATCAGCAATAACTAGTGAACCAAAACCTCGCCGTTTAATTAATAAATCAAAAATAGTTGCTAAACGTGGACCTCTGTCTGGCCAAATCGTATCAACTATACTTGAGGGCTGTCGAAAAGCGTTCGATTCACAACCACGACGACTTGTTGCAGCTATGTACAAATGTGAAGTCATGGTTAATGCAGAAGCGTTGGGTATGTTAAAAAGAAAAAGAAAATATCCTATTTTTTGTTTTTTATCATATATTTCAATAGGTCGAGCTTATGCAGTATTAAACAAACGAAATGGACGTGTATTAAATGAGGATATGAAAGAAGGAACAAGTACATTTATCGTTACAGCTGCATTACCAGTTGCTGAAAGTTTTGGTTTCGCCGAAGAAATGCGTAAGAAAGCGAGTGGTTTAGCATCACCACAATTATCTGGTAAAACCTATTGGGAAATTATTGAGCTTGATCCATTTTGGGAACCGCAAACCGAAGAAGAATTTTTACATTTTGGTGAAAAAGCTGACTTTGAAAATCGTGCCAAAAAATATATGAATGATGTACGCCGACGTAAAGGTTTACGAGTTGAAGAAAAAATTGTAGAGCATGCAGAAAAACAACGAACACATAAGAAAAATAAGTGAACATTGTTTTCTCTGAATTATTTCTTGTTAAAGTTCTTTTATATTTTATTATTTTGGAAAATACTTCCGATAATTCATATCTAAAACAGCAAACGAATCTTTGTTTTAATTTGATTAATATACACGTCCAATATTGAATCGAATTTTCATGAAATAAGTATTTCAGAGCTAGAGAATGACAATAGAAATGCTTTTTGAAAAATTGAAAAGGTCTCTTGCCATTTAATCTTTTTAAAAATTTCCTAACATACGAAAATATATTTTGTGATGATTCATTTTCTACAACCTAATTACATGAGTTATTATCACGATATTTTTCGTTATAGGTAACCGTATTGTTCATTGGTTTATTCTTTTCTATCTTATATGATGCGTAAACATATTGTTTGCCTTTATATACTTCGTTGTAATAGTTATTGAATACAACTAAGTGCATGTTTACAAAGTAACAGAAAAAGACTTACAGCTTTTATTTTCTATATTTGCGATTCCACGTTTTATTCGCGTATAGAACAATATTTCTTCTTTTAGATCGACTATCGCTGCATTAGTTAAGTCCTTTTTTTGCTGTATTTTCAATTAGTGCTAGTAAAGACTGTTTACTTTTCGAAAAACCGTCGTATTTCAGTAGTGCATAACAATACTAGAAACTTACATTGGTATCTCCTTCTATAGTTAGAATTGAAATTATAATTCTTCGAAGTAGTTACGATTTCTAGTTCTATTCAATTGTTGGGGTGTTTGCAGACAATGAAGATGTATGTAATTAGTAATTATTTCAATGCTAAAAAATAAACAGGCATAAAAATAAAAATTTCTAAGTATAAGATTGTAGTCATTTTTTCGAAGTTGATTACAGCATAAATACCTTAAAGGTAATCTATGTATAAGAACGCTTTATAACATGGCTATCAAACCATCGAACTCTAATTTAACATCGAATTGATTGGAAAATGTAGACTCTGGCTTAAGAGTTGACTCTTGTGAATCTGAAGTTTTTCCAGTTCAAGTACATTCTCAGTGTAATATTTAACATAACGTAGATATAATGTATTTATTTCTGATAAAATAATAGATACTCTCAGAACAAGTATCAAACTAGACTATATCCTAGATTCATTTTTTTTCTTTCATCGATGCATTTTCTCTCATGACCATAATATCCTCTAACAAAAAAAGTGACAGTGATTCATAATCAGAAAATTCAACCAGAGTTGAAAAATCATATTCATCTTATTTACATCAAGTTTCTTGGCGATTCTTAACATGATTTCTCAATATTTTAGATAATGAGTTTGATTTTATTACACAATTCTATTCTCTCTGTAATCGTCACTAGCATTACGTTTGCTGTAGTTTTTTTACTGAATTATTTACATAAGAGAAAAGCGATCACCACTGAAGTATCACGAAAAGTAGTTCATATTGGAGCTGGAACACTTTATCTTGCTTTGCGTTTCTATAATGATCAGGGATATTTCTCAAAATATTTGAATATATGTCCGAATCTTCTTTGGACTGGTATACTTATTTGGAAGAGTCAAAATCATTCATCTTCTAACCGTCAAAAATATGATCTTGTGATTGGTACCATGACAAGAAATAATCGTGGAAACGAACTTTTACGTGGCCCACTATTTTTCAATTTGGTTATGATAGTTTGTGGTACTGCTTTATATAAAACAGTGCTTGGTGCTCTTATTATGGCTATATTAACATGGGGCGATGGCTTAGCTGCTGTGGTTGGCGTTCGTTATGGTAGTCAACGAAAAATTTATGGAACAAAGACATTCGATGGATCAATGACTTTCTTTCTTATTGGTATCCTAGCTTCTATTATTTATATATCAATTCTTATTGATTTTCAATCGCTGAATATGTTGAAAATTGTTCTTACATCTTTGTTAGCAGCAGTAATAGAAACTATTACTCCATCTGATTTTGATAATTTAACTATTCCGTTATCTATTTTTGTTTGTATATTATTTTCTTTTTAAACGAGCTCTCATTTAAATATAAACCTTGTTCTACATTCTTCTAGATGCTAGAACCATTGGAATATATTCTTAAACAGAAACGACTTATATTAGCTAGTGGTTCGCCACAACGTAAACAATTACTTCAATCAATTGGCTTAAATTTTGATATAATTGTTTCGGAATTTGCTGAAGATCTTGATCTTTCGACTTACAAACAAAATCTTGATAAATATGTGATTGATACAGCTGAGCACAAGTGTCGACATGTCTATGAACAAATGAAATTAGATGAGAATGAGAAAAAAAAATTAATTATTATAGGTGCTGACACGATGTGTTCATTAGATCATGTTGTCTACGGAAAACCAACTGATAGAGAAGATGCTTTTCGAATGATCAAAACGTTCTCTAATAATACGCATCAAGTGTGTACTGGTGTGTGTATTCTACAAGGAGATCTGACAATGAAGACATTCTCTGAAACGACCGACGTTACATTTGGCCCAATTGACGATGAAACTATCCAAGCTTATATTGAAACAGATGAACCAATGAATAAAGCAGGTGGCTATGGTATTCAGGCGTTGGGTGCAACATTGGTGAAGAAAATCGATGGTGATTATTTTAATGTTGTCGGATTTCCAATTTACCATTTTTGTACACAATTAAAAGGATTACTTGATCCTCAAATAAAATAAGACGAACGATCCTTGGTTGAAGAATTACAGTAAAAAACATCAATGAACTGATCATAAAATACAATGCTTTGAATTAGTTCTCATAGAAATATGTGCTCAAGTGGCATGTTAATAGATACGATCTTCCTTTTACTATTCCACAATCTGTCAATTGGTTTCATAATTTTTGAAATAAATTCATAAATGTGCAGTTCGTTTTAAAAACACAGTCGATTTGAAAAAATATCATGCTGTAGTTTTCTTGAGCAGAATTAGACGACGCATTTTTCTATTAGCTATTGTGAAGACATTAAAATATTTTCTTGAAAAAATGTGTTCAGCGTAGAATGCTAATTTGAACATGTACTTTGTTTTTGGCTATCAAGAATATGCTGATTGTTTTGAGTCATAGGCACAGAAATAAAAGCGGCTAATCAATTTTCTTCTCAAAATATTCATATCCCAGGTTAATGCTCGAATTCTATTATAAATTTTAAATATTTTAATATTTTCATGAATCTCTTAGTAGCCAGTATGCATATATGCAATCTTCTATATTTTGTTTTTATTTTCTATATCTTGACGCAGTAATTAGTTTTACAGTTTTTAGACTGCTGTCGAGTAAATCGAGCTATAAATATATCTCACTATGATTGCATGATGATTTCCACAAGTCGCCTAGAATCGGTGCATTCAAAATCGACTAACTAGAAGATAGACATTGAAGACGAAGCAAATCTGCAACGAAAGATAAAATGAATAATTCTCTGGATTAAACAAATAGAATATTTTGTAAGCCTGGAAAATGTTTTTGTCTATTTGAAACAATCGATTGCCGATGGAAAACTCGTTCAAATCAAAAAGAAAAAGCAAAGTACTGATGAGAGAAAAGAAGAAGTTAATTTATCAGTTGAACGCTCAAAAATATGCAACGCTTTATCCAATCACAATCGTGTCTATCTTCACACGCAAAAGCTCAACCGACACATTAAAGATACATGTTCGTGACCTATTCATTTTGTCAAATGTTCAACAATTCGTTCATAGTACAAAACTATAAATAAAATCCTGTTTACCGAAGATCTAATGAGACATGTGGAACTCTTGCACGGTGTGATTGACAAAACAATATTATACTTTCATTCACCTGTCTTCATCAATGTTAGTCACAGTGCTTTTGCTGGTATCTAGAATGCTTTCTTCTTCAAATGAGTCATCGGTGCGAAGCATTACTATTGAAATAAGTGGTTGCGCCAGAAACGTGCGAGTACAAGCAAAAATGCATCGCCTGCAACTCGGAATCGAATCAGGGTCATCCAGATTCTGTAAGTAGCAGATTTGGCCCTACAGCCGGATATTTTACCAATGAACCACTGCAGAACGTTTCATTTTCGATTGAGTCTTCTATATGTTATCAGAAAGTTCATGTGAATTGCGAAAAATTCCATGGTTTTGGCACATCAAAGATACAACAGAACCATTATGAATAGTTAAGATTGATAAAAACAAAACGCTTGACTCCTATATGCAGTCGTCAACGCCGTCTTTATAAAGAGTGTTTCTGCACGTAGTTAGCTTGTTTGTGTCCTTAGCTCATGATCATACTGGCTTTGAAATAGATGACTATAGTAAAAATAAAAGCTGGTGTGAAAGACTATACTGGAAAGATAGTTATCTCACACATACACAATGATGTCATGAACCCTTATGGAAAATGTTCAAAGGAAAATACTAGTAAGGTTTCCACAAGAAAACAATCACGCGTACAAAAACAGGAAACCGATTCTGATGAAAATTTCAGGGTTTGTAGAGCTTTTGATTCTAAGACCTTCAATAAAAACATTTTCATCAAAAAGTTTTGAACGGACGCGAAGATACGT